ACCATCTGGTTATGACTAACAGTTCGCCATGGAAAATCCCAACCATAAATGGAGGTTTAGCAAACGCTGGGAAAGTCATCTATCAATGGGCCATATTTTTCATGGCTATGTAACAGTCATAACCAGAGGGTATGATTTATAATCATCATGTTCCTTATGGAAAATAATGGTCCCAGTAACCATAGCTAAACAATAACCATAGCTCCACATGGATTTATAATCATCATGTTCCCGATTTAAGGGGCCGATGCTAAACCATTCACTCACAGCCACTTTGTTTCCTTTCTGGTCTCCACAATCTGCCTGAAGATTGGACACCGATCTTCTGAAAAATTGGTCTATATAGGTACAATTAGTGAGGCACCCAAGATAGCGTTCAGTTGGTGCCAATAACTCCAATAACTATGGTTTATGGTACGCAAATAACTATAGTTACTGGGGCTTATAAACCAACTTATAACTGGGGGGCCTCACATTGTAGTCAGTCCCCATTCTGCGCGCACACACATGCAATATCATTCAATCATGTTTTTCTGAAGGTTCACGTGAAAGTTTAAGAAAGTTCCGCTCAAGCCTATGGCCTTCCCATCAGTCTATTTGATGCCCAGAAGGCTATGAAAGATTCACCACTCATTTGCTGACAGGGATCTTATACTACAGTTAAGACAGTTAAGAAGTTAGACTCAACAATACTCAATATATATTTCAATTGCCGTGCACATGTTTGTCTATGTTATTTGAATCTGGAGGGAAAATAAACTACTCCTGCAATGGCAGCCACCAGCCGAACCAACTACCTTTGAGTCTGGTTGCTAGCCGCAGAGTGGTGTCTGCGGGCAACGGTTGCGTGACGGCGGTGCGCTTATAATAAACGATTCAGTTTCATGGTACGGTTTCCCTGAGCCCAAAGCCCAGCGGATTCGAATGCATGTCATGCAACACACATAGTTTCGGGTAATTTCTTACAGTTTGCTATTGAAAATAACACATTTACTGGTTGGTGGTATACCTACCCCTCTGAAAAATGATGGAGTTCGTCACTTGGGATTATGAAATTCCCAACTGATGCTGGGAAGTCATAAAGTTCCATGGTTCCAAACCACCAACCAGTTTAAGTCGTTGATTTACCTATTCAAAATGGTGATATGTTCATTGAATAGATCAGACTCCAAGGCAAACCATCCATCAGAGTCTGGACCTGAAATTTCAGCGTAACGCAAGCCACGACTTAGAATGGGAGGTGCACACCTTGACATTTCCGGTGGATGCCATTCTACATTACAATATATATGAATAATATATACATTAATTATATATATATATATATTGTAATATATATTATAATATAATATAATATATTATATTATATTGTTTTAAATTAAATTATATTATATTATATTATATTACATGTTTCATCTAAGCATTGCAAGAGCAAATAATCATGTTCTGTGGGTTCTCCTAAAACGTTTGTTCCGCGTTTTTTTTTTAAACAAACATCTACAAGAAATAATGTAAGCAAAGGGATATGACAATCTGGGTCATAACAAATCGATGTTGGATTATTTATCTAGGGTCTCTAGGCTACAGAACTTATATAGTAGGGTTTATGTAACCCTATTCTGTAGGCTATGACGCTATGACGACATGATGAAACCCAAAAACCTGACCATATTGGCTGGATGAATCTCCCAAAATGGACACATGCTGCCTGGCAGCATGGAGTGCTTTGTGGTTGGGTCACCACTTCTGCAAAACTTCATGTAGTTGAGTAGTTGATTGGGGTTTCACACAACATTTGGCCATGTTTTGAGATTGATTTTTCATCATAGATGAGATTTATGACATGCGTTTTGTGATTGTTTATTCTGCACCTCATGGATTGCGGATGCATTTCAATGAAATCTACCCTCTGGTAAACTAACATAGCTATTGAAAATTGCCATTTATAGTGAGTTTTCCCATTAAACATGGTGATTTTCAATAGCTATTTTGACATAACCAGAGGGTATTTGGCAGTTTTTGAGTTCAATCCCTGTCATGCGGCATGTGGCTATCGTCTTGTTAAAAACGCATGGCCCGTATGCTTAGAAGACAGCCCTCCTGGGAGACCACGTCTGACGGATCCAATGTCAGCCATGGATGAGTACTGATCGAAGTTGAAGTGGTTTTTATAACCCCCTGATGCATCCAAATCACCCATAGGTTTATCGATCAGTTATGTTTTAAATTAGAGGGAAACCATGCGGTAACATTCTAACCATAAACCACCACCTCCTATTTCTTTGCAGAAAAAAGTGGTAAACACAAGCAATCTTCAAAATTTCAGGGTTGTATACGTAAGATGTTTTTTATTAACATTACTTACTTATATTTACTGTATCACAGCCAACATTGGATACCCTGCATATCCAGTTTGGTCGTTGGTGTAGAATATATGCACATTGTACATTATATAAATATACATAGATATACAGGTTCTACCTACATTATCCACACCTGCGGTATGGCAACAAAAAACAAGGTTTACCAAATCATATCAAGTTCAAATGCTCAAAAAAAATACTTTTCAACATCCCAAATTCACCCAAAAGTCTTGCTACACATCTCAGGCCCAGCAGAGTCATCCTGCTGGCCAAACCCCCACCTTCCGGGCCATTTTGGATCACACAGATCGATCGAAAGAGTCACCCGAGTCTGGACAGTTCGTCACTTGGGAAGGATGATGCACTATTATTCCCAATTAATATGATGGAAAGAAACATAAAATTCCATGGTTTGAAAGCACCAACCAGATATTTCAATATATTTCATATACTATACATATACCCTCTGGTAAACGTTTACATAGCTATGGAAAATCACCATGCTATTAATGGGAAAACTCATTATTTCTATGGCCATGTTCAATAGCTATTTTGACATAACCGGGTACCCAATACATGTTGGATGGCGACATCCCTGCGAAGTCCCCGACGTGTTGATGCTTTCGTTCGCGAACATCAACTTTAGACATGGATATAACATGATATAACCAACCATTATCAACCATTATTACCATTATATCCACTATAATGACGGTATATCAACCATTATTACCATGATATTAAGCATCATGAAAATCATTTTCAGCCAGCCATTATGGAATTTTCTATATACATGGATGATTTGACAGAATTTGACGATGTTTGACTCCCCTTATGGATTAATGGTGACTTTCTCAGTTCTACAAACATGCGAGTTTCGTGGATTGGGATCCAACTGAGCTGTTCCAAATTACCTCCTGCCCAACACGCATCCACTTGAAATTCGGAGAGGGCGCAGGTCTATTTGATCCTTGAAATTCGCGAATGAAGAGATTTTGACCAGCAAGGATTTTCAGAATATCAACCAGAAACAACATACTGTAATTGAATATTAATATTATGATATCACCGGCAGATATACCATCCTGTTTAACTTTTGTCGTCGTATTGTATTATTGCAGCTTTTGAACATCACCAAATAGCACCAGTTGGATATCACCCATTGCGCTCAGCACGTGCTGCACACCCGGAACTTGGAGTGTCAGAGAACGTCGAAGTTAAGGAAGTTTCACTCATGTTCTGAAGAACAGCTTCAAATTTCTGTTGATGACTGGGTCAATCTATGTCTTACCCTCTGGTAAACAAACATATATAGCTATTGAACATTGCCATTTATAGTGAGTTTTCCCATTTAAAATGGTGATTTTCCATATACGTAAACGTTTACCAGAGGGTATCATATGCTCCACAACTGGTTGTATTCCCATCCATTGTTCGATCAGTTCCAGATTTTCTTGCTGAAGTACATATTTTGTTAGCTGCTTTAGTTCCGCCATGTTTGTTTATAAAGTACATCATTGTTGATTCTAGGAACTCCAAACGGTACAGTATCAGATTATCCGCAAAGACAACATCACTTCTCTGGTTGGTGGTTGACCTACCCCTCTGAAAAATATGAAAGTCAGGTGGGATGATTATTCCGAATATATGGAAAAATAATAAATTTTTGAAACCACCAACCAGTATAAATTGGTAAAGTAAAAACCAAAAAATAAATTAAAGGGATCATATCACATCTACAGGCGTGACCCCTGTATCTAAATTTACAAATTACAACCAATTAAAAGCAACATTTCGAACAAAATCAATCAATTTCAAACAAATTCAGCAATTAAAGCACATTACACGCAATTCACAATTTCTTATCATCAATGATGATCCAATCTGATAAGTGCACACTTGTACAGTCAAATAAATCTGTCACGTGCTTCGGAAACTCTATTCCTACCTCCTGGCTCCCCATGGCTAGCAGGAAATCTGGATACAGCTCCGAAGCGCTACCTCCAAACAACTGGATAGTTATACTAGTCTCAAAAAAGATGTCGAACAGTAATTGATCACTATTTTAGGTTCGGATTTGTTGTTTCTATCTTTTTCGTGGGGAAAAAAACTATCTGGCTGCATTGTAAGAATTCACTAACCTGAAGTTGAAACTTGCGACCATTCCCCTATACATTCACCATCATTCCAGTGACGTCACGACGTGAGGTCATGATCAAATTCATCCAGATTATATTGATATCCCAGTACATCCCCATGAATTCCATTAATATGCATTTATAATCCCATTATACTACCATTCATCCCATTATATTCATTGTAGATATTGTGTATTCATCCCATTATAGATCCATTGTAATTCATCCCATTACTGGTTGGTGGTATACCTACCCCTTCTGGAAAATAGTAGTCAATTGGGATTGTTGTTCCCAATATATGAAAAAATAAAACATGTTCCAAACCACCAACCAGATTATAAAGGATTTATGATCCCAATACACTACCATTACTGGTTGGTGGTGCAATAACCATCATAAAAAAAATATGAGTATGAGTTCGTCAATGGGTTTCGGATGACATCCCATATATTGTGGAAAAAAAACATGTTCCAAACCATTATCTACCATTAATATCATGGCTTTGTCCACGGTCCACTGGTCATCTCTTTTCGCGGTCAGCTTCAGGTAAAGGCTGACGAGGCGCCGGTCCTGGTGATTTGGACACGCAAAAAGCAGTTGGATAAAGTTGGCCAAAAACTAAGATAACAACGGCTTATGGCATATATATATAACATAACATAACATAATATAATGTAATATAATATAACATAATATAATGTAATACAATATAATATAATACAATAATATATTATAATATATTCTAATACTATATATGACTATACTTGTATCAAACTAGTTATCTACCATAAAAATGCTGTCTGAAAATTGGATGTAGACCGCCTCCAAATTGACAACAAATTTCACCGGTAAACACCCTCTGGAAATCATCTACAACCGGACCATTTGCCATATTTATTTTGGCCACATATTGAGCTGCAAAAACAATGGGGAATATATTAGTTGTAATATCTGCATTCTACAAATGAAGATCAATGATAAGGGTGTGTCTGAAAATAGTATACCCCTAAACCCAATGGTTTTGCTGATCATTATCCCTATTAAATGGCTATTTCATTGGGAATATACCCTAGGTTCAGACAAACCCATATAGCTATGTTAGATTACCAGATAGTAATTTGTCATAGTGGATAGATGGCCATTGATAATGCATTCGATAGTGCCATGATTTGAAAGGGCCTTAAACACCATCCGAATCGTGGATAACAATGATATGGACTGGATTATTAATATAGATATTCCAATCAATCATGGTTGATATATTATTATTATTAATAAAAATATATTTAGATATTCCATTAATATCTAGATATTCCAATTTTCATATAGATATATGATATGGTAATATATTATCAATCATGGTTATATAATGGACTCACGTGATCCATAATCCTCTCACAATGATGACATGGTGATGATTTCCCTATCATGGATAGATTAACCTGCAGGGCGCTCCATCATGGATAGATCATGATCATAAAAAGGCCACCTGAACGGTTATTATATATATATATTATATATATATATTATATATTATATATATATGATCTTTATGGGATATAATAACTTTATAATATAGGTAGATATTTCATCATTTATGGATATAACGAAACTGGGAAATTGCTGATGGTATACAACGGATACTTTCACAAACAATGGGTAGAATGGTGGTATAAACAGGAATGGTCATTACGTGGGATGCCTAACAATGGGGCTTATTTCAAAAGCCCCATTAAACACAGGGGTTGATGGTAGCTAATAACTCCTGAATACTTATGGTTAGCTTGAGCTGGTGAGGGGTTGCATTTCTTTCTACTCAAGCAATTAACTTGAGCCATACCACTATCCCATCCCATTCTACTGGTTGGTTAAGAACGGGATTTCCCACAATGGATTATGATAATCCCCAATATAGTGGGTAGTAAAACCTCCTATAATGACCAAGCAACAATGGCATTTGGAAAATCGCAGACTTGGTTTCCAGTAGAAACACCCCCTGAGGATATTTCGCCACGTGTTCGTTCATTTTCCACAGGGTGGTACAAATGATGTTCCCATGTCCAATCGTTCAATTTCTTTTTGGGGTGCTTTAATTCATGAACGCCCAATGGATGGTGTTCATGGTTGGATCTTGTTGCATGATTTTTGGGCTAAAATTATAGCATGTTGTAGTACTGTTGTAGCAATGGTCCCTGTGATTGAAGTAACTTGACCATGGAACACCAATGTTCGAAGAAAACCCCAAGGAACACCAACATTTAAGCAACTTCATCACCAAGGTGAGAATTCCAGGAATGCTTGAAAGACTGTCCCCTTAATCCAACGGTATATCATCATAGTCCCGATGAAAATTGCAATAGATTGGAAGGTAGCCTAGGCTTCATATCTCTGCCGAGACTTCTCCCAGTCTCAGGCCACCATTGGATGTCATTGGTATCAGTTGTATCCCATGAGATGATACTATATAATTGATTATATCCCGATATTTACCCTCTGGTAAACGTTTACATAGCAAACTGGGAAATCACCATCTTTAAGAGGGAAATCAACTATTTCTATGGGCCATTTTCAATAGCAAACTGTTAAATTACCAGAGAGTAATACATATTCAGTGCATATGGTATATGAGTGGTGTCTATATGCCGTTGGATATTCAATGATACTACCGTCCCCCACAACTGACACACACCCTCCGCCAAACAGGAGCTTGGAAAATTACTTTCCTCTTAAATAGAGCTCTCAGGGTCTATGTTTTCAAGTGATATGCTACAGTATTGGTTATGCTATGTTAACTGGTTGGTGGTGCAATACCATCTTGAAGAATATGAGTATGACGAGTTCGTCAATGGGTTTCGGATGACATCCCATATATGAAATGGAAAATAAAATTCATGTTTCAAACCACCAACCAGTAATTCATCATCATTCACTAACCAGAAATTACCCTCTGGTAAACGTTTACATAACTATGGGAAATCACCATGCTTTTAATGGGAAAACTCACTATTTCTATGGCCATTTTCAATAGCTATGTTAGTTTACCAGAGGGTAAGATGATTTAAGCATCATTAACCATTATTAACCATTATTAACCATTATATAACCATCATTAAACATCATTAATTCATCATCATTCACTAACCAGAAAAAATCTCTGTGCTTTCTTCTTCTCGATTCCCCGACATTCGCCGCCGGCACCGGTGAAATCTGCCCGTTGAATCCAAGGCACACGCCGGCGGCGCGCAAGAGCTGTATAGACTCCTGTCGATTTAGCCTGGAAGGGCCCGACTGTAAGTAGCCTAGGCCCATAGATATTGGTCTCATAAACCAACTAACTTATAATATGTTTATAAACCAACAATATAATATATGTGTTTACTATAAAACCCCGATTTCAATCGTTTATAAACCAACATGTTTAAAACCCATGAGCTATTGTTAACTATTGAATCTATTGAATATGGTTGTTATATCCTCCATAAACCCAGTCACGTTCACAGGTCGTGAACATCTTGGAGATCAATTCTTGTTCATCATTGGAAGACCATGGGTTGAAAACCATGGGTTGAAAACCATGGGTTGAAAACCTATCCGAAAACCTATCTTATCTGGTTGGTGGTTAAAAATAACCATCTTGAAAAATGATGGACTTCGTCAATGGGTTTCGGATGACATCCCATATATGAAATGGAAAAACACAAATCATGTTTGAAACCACCAACCAGTTGTTCATCATTGGAAATTATTGGGATGATGTTACCCTCTGGTAATTTAACATAGCGAACTGGAAAATCACCATTTTATAGCTGGGAAAATCCACTATTTCTATGGCCATTTCCAATAGCTATTTTGACATAACCAGAGGGTAAGATGATTTAAGCATCATTAACCATTATTAACCATTATTAACCATTATATAACCATCATTAAACATCAATAATTCATAGTAATTCATCGTTAAACATGTAGAATTCATGAAGCCTCAGTTCTTGTTTACAAACGGGGGGATGGCCAGGAATGAGCCTCGTGGCCCACTTCAGGGCCGTGAAGCCTCAGGGCCCACAAGCCAGGGAGATCACTTAAAAATGATGGTGAAACACAATGACATTTTCCAAGTTTGAGATGTATAACAAAAAATATTGATATATGCATTGATATGCCTTGGGATATATTAATTATATTAATATATACATATTAATTAAATTATACATATGTATATATATATATACACGGGAAGGCTTAAGGCAGGGTTTCCCCACGACCTGCTGTTTCCTTTTGCCTTAGCGGAACTGCGCCGGAGTTCCGCGGGCCCATTTGCTTGGTGCCTCACTGACGGCGAACGAGCGCTACCACCAGGCGAGGGAGATTTTCTTCGGCTGGGCGGCTGGCGGTTTCTTCTCCTCGAGCCCTACAACAAGGTGTTCTACATCTTGACCGGCAAGGTGTGCATGGGTGGGATCTTGCGTTTGCTCTTCGGCATCCTCTTGATCACTAAGGATTACGCCTTCACGTCGGAGAAGAGCTCGACGACAGAGGGCCAAAGCACGTGCGCTTTGGTTCCAACATCGCACAGGGGCCAGGACACTTCGTTTGGTAGACCTTCGAAGAGTGTTTGGGATCCTGAGTGCTCATCATTCCAGAGACAGCAATTTCCTGAACCGCATTGTGGTAGCGATGGCTCATTCACAAGTGGATTGGAGATGCAGTGCATGCTGGAGAACCAACAAGGCCAACACACAGCGCTGCGCTCGGTGTGGCATATTCTGGACGCATGGGAACGACCAGACGTATGTGCCCCAGAAGACGGCGTACAGAAGTCCCAGGAGAACGACACAGCCTTCAGCCTGGAACTATACAGGGTGGTCTTCGAGCAATCAATGGGCAGACTCAGCATGGCATCAAGGACATCAAGAAGGGCAGACACCGAAGAACAGACAGAGAGGAAGCACACCCAGGAAAAAGACGCCCAAGGGTCAGAAGAAGAAGAAGGGCGACTCGGATGGTGTGCCACCCACAGAACCTCCATGGCATTCTCAATACCGTGGAGACACTCTGCCCAACACACAGGGAGAAGAAAATCCAGATGCCTCAGAGAATCTGGCTTTATTGGCCACAGCTTTGAAGGAAGCCAACACGCCAGTTCCGGCTCGAGTCCAGCACATTGTTGCAGAGAATTCTGCACCAGTCCCAACCACCAAGGGACTCAAGAATGCGGTGGACAAGATGGACAAGGCCAGACGGAAACTACGAGAAGCACAGGCAGCACGGGCCAACCTACATACCAACTGGAGGGCCTACATCGCAGACTCTGTCAAAAGATGGACGCAGTTTGCAGAGCAATTTGGCAAAGACGATGCCGACCTCGCAGAGAGGGTGAAAGCTGCGCAAGACAGACTCCAGAAGACCAAGGAGGATGTGGAGAGCAAGAAGCAGGCGTTGGAAACTATGGACGAAGAGTCTCAGATCGAGGTCTCCGACGACGAAATGCCGGATCGCATAGACACGTCCGAGAATATCCAAGAAAGCCTAGCGTCGATGGTCTCCAACTTGCAAAACATGCAGCAGAAAGCCGAGGAAGCATTCGTCGAGGCCAACGAGAACAAGAACAAAAGGCAGAGACTGGAAGAGCCACTATCAGAAGCTGGTGCTCCTGCGCAGCAGTCTGGTGGAGTGGCTTCTACAGCCATGGTGCCTTTTGGAAAGCCGGGCAAGTAGACCAATGGGAGACTTGCCCTGGGCAAAATTGGGGCTCAGAAGCGGTTCTTTTGAACTGGAGCCACAGCTTCACGTTTGATCCCGAGTACCAGTCGGTATGGGCAGCGTCAATTGCCGGGCTGGATTTGTCATGGGAAGTAGGTACTTTGTCCTCTACTTTGTCAAGTTCCTCACAGTCGTCTTTGTCCTTGCGACCGAAGCGAAGCAAGATTCCTGGACGGCGTGTACATTTTCAGAAGCCAGAAGAACACTATGTGGGTGATTTGAGTTCTTCAACGACTTTTCTGAAGCAGAGTGTGGACATTTTTGAGTATCCTTTTTCTCTTGACTTTGCGCAGATAGCCTATTATACAGATGAGAGTTCCTTGATGGCTTTGGGCACTTTGACCTCGCCAAGGGAGCTGGCCATGAACCAGAATCGCGAAGCAGCCGCGGTGTTTGATGACCCCATGGCTGCACGCCAAGATGAAGAACCAGCAATACAAGCTGATCCTGACCAAGATCTTCCAGAGTCAGAATCAAGTTCATCAAGTGAATCCGACAGTGGAGAGTTTAGGCGACCTGCCATTGTTTACTCACTTGATTGGGACCCTATGCACTGCAGACCCAGATGGAGCACTTATGAAAAGCTTCACAAAGACATTGCGGTGCACTTTGACATCAGCATACATGATCTGACTGTGGTGCATGCGGTGCGTTCACCCCCAGTGGATTTGCTTGCGGCCAAGATTCAACCTTTCATCGCACAGAAGCCGGGGGATGTCACTGAGGGGTCAAACTTCCAGCTGACACTCATTGATGTGGAATTTCACAATGCCTTGCCTTCACTGGAACAAGAGACTGTGAGACGAGTGCGCCTGATGCCGATGACCCTATCCAGAAAGGCGCTTTTGGCCCTTCTTGGACTGGAAGCGCATTGTCGCTATGTGAAAAAGGCATGCTTGGTGTGGCACAATGGAGATCCAGTCAAAACACAGGCAAGATCACTGATGAATCTGCGACATGGAGACTTTCTCAAAGTTGCAGTACCGCCGGGTAGAGGAGAACTGAGAAGACATTATACCAGAGAGGTTGCGCAATGTCTTCGACGTGGATATCTTCCTTCCAATGTACCTGCAGTTCTTGAAGCTCATCCTGAAGGTCTCAATGTAGTGGACATGCCTGTGGTGGACAACTTCAATTACATTCCACGAGCTGCTGACCTTGACTATGATCGAGATGCAATGGCCCTCCTGCAACTACAAGGATGGAGTCTTCCAGCCTATGAGGCTTGGCCTGATTTTCTTCAAAGGCCGAGTGGAAAGACCCCACGTGAGTGTAAGGTTGGGGAAGATGATGTTAGAGACCCAGTCATTCCATCGTCTGACATTCAACCTGCTGTAGAGGGAGGTCGTCCAGAACTTGACTTTGGGGAGGTCACGCAGTTTCTACAAGGGCTTCACCCACTATGGCAACACTATGCGGCAGTGGGAAGAGAAGATGAAGGTCGGGTGCTATACGTACGTACATGGTACACTGACCACTTAAGACATCCACGCTGTGAACATGACCGTGCAGTTCGTCTTCTACAAGATCCATGGAGCTGGCCAGATGCGCTAGCGGAAAGATGGGATGATCTTATTGACCCAGATGAGCGAATTGATCTGTATCTCGTCAGACCATCGCCAAGGAGCCGAGGTTGGGAGGAAGCAGATGCAGTACCACATATTGTTCTAGTACAACGTCCTCAGGCAGAACTTCGCAGTCTCCATATTACCACCATTGACCCAGCCAATGAGGCATCACTTCTCACTTCATTTGTGCTGGCAAGTCCGAGGCGCATTAGGAAGAGGTATTTCCTTGAGTTGCTGGGAATTCTGGACGACACTGTCGTAGAGAGTCTGGTGGATTGCATGGTTTGGCATGGAGATTTGCTTCTAGAACATCATGAAGTTTTTCAAAGCCAACATGGAGATAGCTTCTTGATCATCCTCAATCATCTGAGGGATATTGTGAGAAGAGCGGCAAGCGCAGCAAGCAGTTCGGATGGACTGAATCTATTGCAAAGGAACGTCAAGCGCCAACACCTCCATTTGAATGATCTGGTCTTGGAAACTTCAGAGACCTCCTTACCAAGGATGCAGGCTTTGAGAGTTATTTGGAGACTGCCACCGGGGCCACATCCATCTTTCATTGAAGTTCCGATCCATGCGACAGAACCTCAACTTGAAGCAGAGTTTCAGGGATGGGGAATTTCTTGCAGACCGGTAGCCTGCTTCGAAAGAGATGCTGTAATCTGCCTGCCTTTGGCAGCAGAACATCCAGCGCAAGAGTATGACTACATCTTCGTCAACATGGACTTGGAGGATGATGAGTTTACTTTCCTGCGCACGCAGTCACATGCTCTGGATGACCATGGACTCATGAAGCATCTCTATGCATTAGGTTTTTGGCGCGCGGTGATCCACTCTGAACAGGAGATTTATCCCAAGATTTACAAAGTGACATTCATCAATCAGAGAGTTCAAATGGCCAGTCATGTCGACAAAGGCAAAACTCTGCCGGAGTGGCCACCACCACAATGTGGTCCTCGTGGCACCAATCCTTTTTATCATGGACATGCCGATTTTTGCAGTGACACATTGATTGACATTGGACTTACACATGCTGACATTGCTGAGCTCTTTGACTCACACAAGCATGTCCTGCAGACAAGCTTTGGTCCTTCTCAGCCACCGGAGGAGATTGTCAAGGCCATCGCTGCATGTGACCAGTCCATCGCCAATTCTGACCTTGACCGACTTTTGGTTTATGCAGATGGATCTTCCCTTGGAGCACTCAAACATGTTCCTCCTCTGCGGGCAGAAGAAGAAGGCAGTGGCGACACCTGGGCATATGTGGTTGTGGGTGAGAGATACCACCCACCAGGTTTGAAATTCATGGGATGGAATGCACAAGCAGTGCACTATGAGCCCAGTAGCAATGTCCATATTGGGGCCAGCCGCTTAGGGGCTGATGTGGCAGAAAAGGAAGGCTTAGCATGGGGTGCATTGGAGATTGAGCCAAAACTGGAACATTGCCACCTGCTTCCGGTCTGACTCGCGCACAGCCTTGGGACAAGCAGAAGGAGTTGTGGGCGCTGCACAACTTGATGACACCCTAGCCTTTTTGCGTGGAGTTTGCCAAGCAGTTGAGACTGCCATCGAGCCGGAGAATGTCATCTACGCTCATGTACCAGGGCACGCAGGGGAAGTATGGAATGAGCTATGTGATTGGCTAGCCAAAGAAGAGCGACGCAGAAGTTTTTACTGCCCAAGACCACATTTGGCGGTGCAAAGATGGCGCAAGTCCATTGGTCATGCTTGGATGCTCTTCAACAACCACCCTGATCTCCCTGCGTTTTGTGGAGAAGGTTTCCACGCACCAGCTCCGCAGTTGCCACCAGCACAAAGAGCCATTCCGCAGGCCCCAGTCAAACAAACACGTTCCAGAAAGATCACTTTCAACATGAGTGCTTGCACGGCGAACGTGCAGTCATTGAGCAGTGGTTTGCAAGGGCATGCAGGCAAATTGGCATATCTTCGCCAACAAGTTCGTGCACTCCACTTCAATTTTCTGGGAATCCAAGAGGCAAAAACAGAAGAGATCTGCACTTATGTGGACCAAGTGTATCGCCTTGCAGGAGGCTATGAACAACATCAACAAGGAGTTGAGCTCTGGATCAACATGGCCCAGCCGTATGCCCATGTCAACGGCAAACCATGTCACTTTGAGAAAGGTGACTTCCAGATCGCTCACAAGGATCCGAGGATTCTTGTGGTGCGGATTGACACCGTCCACTGGAATGGATGGATTGTTGTGGCTTACGCCCCACAAAGCGGCATTAGCAGAAGTACAAGAGCAGAATGGTGGCAGCATTTTGCTCAGGTGACCCAGTGCCGCAAAGAACATGAACCTATGCTTGTCATGATTGATGCAAACGCAGCTCCAGGAAACTATGACGGGAAGGCCGTCTTTCGAAGAGGCCTTCACACTTCATCCAGCACGGTGTTTCTGCGTGAGTTTGCGGCGAATCATGACCTCTTCTTTCCCTGCACGACGTCCGTGCACGAAGGCGAAATCAACACTTGGACTGATCCTGGAGGAGAGCGATCCTACTGCATTGACTATGTGTTGCTCTCCAGGCAATTTGAAGGGGCGTGCAAACTGTCACAGATTGCAGAGGAGTTTGACAATGCCTCCTCTGATCATGCCACACCAGTAGTTGAATTAGAATGGGAAGGAGAGGCACAAGTGAGTCAACGGAGCACAACACCATCCACACCTTATGACGCTGCAGCCATCTCCCCGGAAGTTGTCACAGGCATTCTACAGTCCTATGAGCCAGCGCAGTGGCATAGTGACATTGAGAGTCAGATCGACACTTTCAACGCAGCCATCTTGCAGGGTCTTCGTCATGCATGTCCCAAACGTCGAGCACAGGCCAAAAAGCCCTATATGTGTGATGATTTATGGCACATACGCTCACAAAAACTTCAAGCAAAGAAGCATTTGAAGGCAGCCTGCAAGAGAAGCAGGGAGGAGAGCCTGGTCTGCTTTTTCCAATCATGGAGGGCTCGAAGACAACCAGGTAGGGAGATCTGCGAGGAGCAGTTCTGGCACTACAACTCCTTTCTGCAATTGCGCAAGCTTAAGTGTGCTGCGCAGCTGTATCATTTTACGGTACAGCTTCGCAGCAAGCTGAAGACCGCCAAACAGCGCAGTATCAAGGACAAGATCACCAGCCTCCCAGATGACGCGTCAGCAGCGACCATCCTTCATGAAATGCGGCCCTTTTTGGGACCCTCCAATTTGAAGAAGGTCAAAACGGCAACTTTGCCGTATGTGAGAAAGGAGAATGGTGAGATATGCACACTCCCGAATGAGGCAGTTGAAGCTTGGCTCAGCTTTTTCAGCACTATGGAAGGAGGAGTGCGCATGAAGCTTGAGGAACAAAGGGCATTGTGGATCAGCAACCTTGAGGCTCTTCAACAAGCTTCTTTCACCATTGATGGTGTGCATCTTCCACGGCTATTAGACTTAGAGGCAGCCCTCCGACGCGTGAATCCACAAAAAGCGACGGGCCCTGACCAAGTCCACCCTCGTGTTTGCTGTGCAGCTCCACATCGTTTGGCTCGCAAGCTTTATGGTGCTCTGCTGAAGCTCCTGACACACGGACAGGAATCGCTTTGCCACAAGGGGGGACTTTTACACCCTGTCTGGAAAGCCAAAGGAAGGAAAGATTTGTGCTCTTCTTTCCGCAGCATCCTGATATCGAGTCACATCGGGAAGAGCCTGCATCGAAGCATCCGCCAACATCAGACCTCACTCTTCAGCGCCTTTTTGCAGCATGAACAGATAGGAGGACGACCTCGAGCCCCTGTCACCCTTGGAGTGCATATTGGTAGAGCTTTCTTGAGGGCGAAGAAAGGACAGGGACACAATGTGGCGATGTTGTACCTCGACCTCACTGAAGCGTTTTATCGCATTATGAGACCCCTGGTGGTGGGGGGGGAAATCGAGGACGAGCTCATCATCTATGTTGGGGCGCGCCTGGGCCTTTCTGAAGACCTTTTGGGCGAGTTACACCGCCATCTTGCTGAACCGTCAGCGGTTGAACGAGCTCGACTGCCGCGGCATCTTCAGCATACCTTGCGGGCTTTGCATCAAGACACGCACTTCCATGTCAAAGGGCAGGTTGATTGCTGTAGAACGAGACTTGGTTCTCGACCGGGTGACTGCTTTGCGGATGTGATTTTCTCGTATTTGTGGTGCCGCATTTTGACCACACTTCAAGATCAACTTTGTGCGCTTGGCATAGCGGAGACCTTCCCGAAGCACACTGGTTTGGTTTTGGATGCAGCCCCACATGAGGAACAGGCTGACACTTGCAGCTTCCTCGGACCGACGTGGATGGATGATACGTGTGTCTGCATGTCAGACATCAATCCCATTGCGCTGGAGCATAAGATCACGCAGGCAGCTGGGGTGCTTCTTTCACTTTGCGACTCGCATGGCCTTTCACCTAATCTATCACCAGGGAAAACAGAGGTGCTCTTGGTCTTCCAGGGTCGTGGTTCCAAGCAGATGCGCATCAAGTATTTTGGACCATCCTCTGAGAATGCCATCCTGGTGGTGGGGGAAACAGGCACTCGCAAAATTCGGACAGTGGGGCATTACACGCATTTGGGCTGTGTTATCCACCACCGTTCAGACAACAGGAAAGAAGCCAGGAGGCGAGTTGGGATTGCGCAGCAAGCCTTTTCTCAGCACAGACGTCACCTGCTACACAATGATCAATTGCCGGCAAGCAAGCGGGTGGAGTTGTTCAAGACGCTGATTATGAGCAGATTCAGTTATGGAACTGAGTCGTGGACATTTGAGGACCACAAAAGCCGTGAACATGTCCACAACTCACTCCTTCGTCTTTTTCGGCGACTTCTCAAAGCTCCACACGACGCACATCTCACTGATGAGGCTGTCTTGGCAGGCACAGGACTCAACAGTCCGACGGAAATTCTACGTATTGCTCGGCTCCGATACCTTGGAACGCTTTATCGCTGCCAAGATTTGGTGCCGTGGGGTTTGCTCAACAGCGACAAAGCGTGGACGAGACTGCTGGCTGATGACCTGGAGTGGATGTGGCACCAGCTTAAGGCCGCCTCAGCCTTACCACATCCTGCCGAACGTCTTGAACCTTGGGAAATGATTTGGTGCCACCATCCGTCATATTGGAAAAGACTTGTACGTCGAGCAGGAGAACATGCTCTTCTACAACGACAACGACGGCATCGAGTTGGGTATTTTCATGAGCGTTTTTGTCATCTTTTTGAACAAGTCCTTCCTGGACACTTTCAGGTGCCCAAGTTTGATGCAGAGAAGGTAGAGACCACAGAACACTACGGCTGCATGCAATGCCAACAAGTTTTTGCGAGTAAAGGAGGTCTCGGTGCTCATTGCTTTCGGAAACATGGCGTTGTAGCCCGTGTCAGGCTCTTATTCGATGTGACCAGTTGCGGCGCATGCCTCAAGGAGTACCACACCTTCAGCAAACTGCAAGCGCATCTCAGGAATTCAGGCGCTTGTAGAAGAACACTTTGGGGGCGCAAGCGCTACACTGGTGTGGGAGATGGCACCGGATCCTTGACGGATCGTCATCTTTGTCGACAGCACGATGGCATTTTGCCACCTTTGCAGGGTTTTGGACCTCTTCTCCCTGCGTGTGCACAAGAGGAGATTCCTGAATACGACCTAGAGCTGGCAGAGGAGATCTACCTGGCTTTGGTCGAGTGCGAGGGGAAGAACCTGGTTGAGCAAATCGTGCGAGATGTTATCTCCACTCGTTCTACGTCCTGGCAATCCTGTCGGGCATCCTTGCACTATCTGATTGAGGAGCTCACGGCTGAGGACATTGTGGTCTTGGACCTTGGGGACTATGACATCAAGCAGTTCCTGCAGTACCTGGCGACGCCTGCAGCGTGGCCTTTTCTCCAAGCTTCGCCTAGCCGGGAGCGGTGCTTGGAGCCAGATGACCAGATGACTGCAAAAGAACAGGCTTGTGAGAAGGGCATTGCATCTGCGGAAAAGCGAGCCAAGATCTGGGACGTTCCCCGCCCTATGGCTCGAGAACGTTACCTGATCCACGCGTTTTCGGGCAGACGACGCATGGGTGACTTCCAGCAGTTTGTGGAGGCGGCCAACCTTCGCCATCCCGCCACGACCATCTTCACCATTTCCGTGGATCTCATGGTGGACCCAATTTGGGGGGATGTATCTCGAGAAGAGGTGCGTGCCTTCTGGATCCGAGCAGTGAGAGATAGATTCGTGGTTGGAGCTCTAGCGGGTCCCCCGTGCGAGACGTGGTCTCAGGCACGTGGTCGTGCAGCGCCTGAGTTGGTGGAGACGGAAGAGCAGGCGACACACCCACGTGGTCCACGTGTCCTGCGAGACATGGAGGAAATCTGGGGAAGGGCTGCTTTGGCCTTACGCGAGATTCGGCAGTTAGATGTTGGGAACTTGCTTTTGCTTTTTACGCTGGAGCTTTTGATCAATTTGGCTCTGGAAGGTGGGATTGGTTGCTTGGAGCACCCAGGGCCACCGGAAGATGCTACGAAGGCGAGTATTTGGAGGCTACCAGTGGTGCAGTTCCTGCTAGCATGGCCGGAATTTGAGTTCCTGGAGATTTCGCAGGGCTTGTGGGGTGCTCCCAGCCGCAAGCCCACAGGGCTGGTGCTACTCAACATGCAGCATATGGTGGCACAGCTCCGCAAGTGGCAAGTCGCGACTGATGTCCCGCGTGGAACTTCGATAGGTCTCACAAAGGATGGAATTTGGGCGACGAGCCTATTAAAAGAATACCCTCCTGCACTTTGTGCAGGGCTTGCAGGAGGGTTTGTGCAGACACTACAGGAACATCCTGTAGATGAATTTGTGGTTCCAACCAGTGACTTCCGAAGGCAGGCCAAGGACATGTTAGTGTCTGAAATGGGGCCATGTGCAGGCCCGGATTTTGCTAGGTAGTTGGACCACTTTTGCCATTTCACCTGTTTCGTTGCAGGGACCTTGCAAGGCCGCAGCTCACGCTTCTTGGTGCCTGGAAGGGAAAAATATACACGGGGATAGGTCGTTGAATTTTGGAGGTTCAATGACTTGAAAAACCATGGAATCAGCATGGAGATAAAAATGGTCCGGGCCATGAGGGAATCACCGGTTTCAACCTCTAAATCCACTGGTTCATCATCACGTTCCCCATGAAACGGCATTTTTTTGGGGCTATACCCCATGTTCGAACAAACCCATATATATATAATAACAGTAATAATAATAACAAGATTAACAATCACAATAATTAATATAGAGACATAATTATATATATATATAACTATGTATATATGTATAATATATATATATAGATATACAGGTAGATTCCAGGTAGATACAGGAAATGAATGATTTCCCAAGGAAAATGATCTACGGTCAGGTATGCCAAAGGGTAAACTGAGAGCAGGAACACCCTCTTGAATCCAATTGATAAATCATACATGACCCTAGATCATGCTAGTTTCCATGGGGCAAAAAAATACCTATGCATTGGTATATAACAATGATCAATCTTTGGTAGTCAAAAAAAAAAATCCTTTGCTGGTTATGGTTATTTCCCATTTACAGCAAAAAACTAGAGGATCAAACTACCTGTCCAGGCATGGGTAAGACTGCCCTCTTGCAAACAACGAGCTGGGGCCCCACCAAAAAATGCTACGTCACGTTCGATGGTTAAGTCTCATATAAAACCTGTCCTCATGAATTTCCCCATATACCCTCTGATAATTCAAACATCTAGCTAACAAACATGGCCCATTTAGTGCTACGATTTACCATGGATTTACCTATGGTTAACCATGATTTACCAATGATTTACCATTGATTTACCATATTTACCTATGATTTACCTATGATGTACCTATGATTTACCTATGGTTTACCTATGGTTTACCTATGATTTACCTATGATTTACAAATATATATATATATATATACACATGATTTACCTATGATTTACCTATGATTTACCTATGATTTACATATGATTTACCTATGGTTTACCTATGGTTTACCTATGATTTACGAATGGTTTACCTATGGTTTACCTATGATTTACTAATGGTTTGCCATGATTTAATTACCTATGATTTACCTATGATTTACCAATGGTTTACCATGATTTACCTATGATTTACTATGATTTATCTATGGTTTACCTATGATTTACCTATGATTTACCTATGATTTACCTATGATTTACCTATGGTTTACCTATGGTTTACCTATGATTTACCAATATATATATATATAATATATATATATGGTTTACCTATGGCTTACCTATGATTTCCTTATGATTTACCAATGGTTTACAATGATTTACCTATGATTTACCTATGATTTACGAGTGGTTTACCATGATTTAATTACCTATGATTTTTTTATGATTTACCTATGCTTTACCTATGATCTACCTATGGTTTACCTATGATTTACCTATGATTTACCAATGGTTTACCATGATTTCATTACCTAAACTTTACCGCCTATGATTTATCTATTAATTACCTATGATTTACCTATGATTTACCATTATTTACCTATGATTTACCTATGGTTTACCTATGATTTCCCTATGATTTACCAATGGCTTACCATGATTTCATTACCTATGATTTACCTATGATTGATCTTTGATTTACCTATGATTTACCATGATTTACCTATGGTCTACCTATGATTTACCATGATTTACCTTTGATTTCCCTATGATTTACCAATGGTTTACCATGATTTCATTACCTATGATTTACCTATGATTGATCTATGATTTACCTATCATTTACCATGAATTGCCTATGGTTTACCTATGATTTACTAGTGGTTTACCATGATTTAATTACCTATGATTTACCGATGGTTTACCTATTACAGATGGTGATTTTCCAGTTTGCGATGTGGAAAAGCACCGGAGAGTACACTTTCCTATGACCTCCCCACGAGGTGGTGACCTGGTTGGCCATCGCTGTTCAAGGCACCATCATCCGTGCTGGCAGCTGTATCTGCACCCGCCTTCGCGACAACAAGGAGGCAGTTGATATCAACCGGGAAACGTTAAGCTTAAAATAACATGTGTATATATATATATATGTATATATAGGTATACTTCCTTTAAGACTTTGTCTTTTCTTGTGGTTTAAGAGTTCCAAGTTGGAACGCAGTTGAACAATAACTTTATTAGGTGGCTTGTGAAACATTCGCAACTCCTATGAAAAGTGCATAACTTCTATGAAACGTGCACCTCTATAAAACACTGCAAAGATTGTGTATTCCTAAAGCCTCATGAATCGTTCTAAAACACTGTAAAGAACTCTTGAATGGAGTATATGCAACTGATCCATGTCAGGTTCGCCACTACGACTTCATGTTCGACCACTGGCCCTTGTCTGCAATGCTTGGCTCAGGAGGGGCCCCTTTTCTTTAATAGATTAGACCCAGCCTCGACCTATGGGCTGCTGACTTTGGACTCTGCGTCCAACCGGTGAAAACAGAGCTGAGCGCTCTTTTGCATTTGGTGTTTGAGTTTGAGCCCGACACGTTGCCACTGTGTGCCTGCTGCATTGGCAGCGGAGCACCTACGCTCCGGGGCCTTAGCTACCTGCTGCGACCCGACCTAGCCCTTGTGACCTTGGCCGGCGTCTTAGCAGCGGTGGACCTTTTGCCGAACGGCATCCCTGGACTTTTTGCACGAGCTTTCATTTTTATTTTAGCACTTTTTCCGTGAGTTTGACTTCGTGAAGGCGAAGTGGAGACTGACTTGATCCTGACGATCAACTTTTACCTCAAAGCCTGCATTTTGCAGCAATGGCGACTCGCAGTGATGAGAGCGTTCCTTCATGGGATGGACAGGCAAAAAACTGGCGTAGGTACACCAAAGAAGTTGCATGGTATGTTGCATCGACCCCCACCAAAAAACGTAGATATGTGGCCTCCAAATTGATTTCAAGACTATCTGGTCCTGCTCGTCTTCTAGCTATGTCATGGTCAAGAACAGAGTTTGATTCTCCGGACGGTACCCTGAATCTTTTGAAGAAGTTAGCTGGTTCCCCACTGGTTCGAAAGACACTACCAAATACAGCTGCAATTCTTCAACAATACCTGGGATTTAGGCGACAGCCTGGTGAGTCAATGGCGAATTTCTTGGTACGTGAAACTTTGGGATATGAAGAGTTTTCTGAAGCCCTCATACGGCTATGGGAAGAACAGACCGGTATTGACCCTGCTGAAAGAAATTTTGGTTTGCCACCTATTTCAGAATGGGATTGGTGGGATGATGACTATGAGTATGGCTATATGGGGGGCATGGATGTCACTTCTGGTGATGCGGAACCTCAACATGAACCTGCAGCTACGACGGCAGCTGCATCCTCTCCTGAGCAAGGCGCTGAGCCTCCAGTAAGTGCGGCTCCTGGTTCCTCTCCTAGCCATCGAGTTGGTGCGGCCTCTGAAGTTTCTGCGCCAGGGCCTGAATCTGATCCGGGAAAGCCCAAAATACCCCAAGATGTTTCAGAAGTTTCTTTGGCAGATTCTTTCATCATGGGTGTTCTACGTGGCTGGCGTTTGTTGAAGGCTGCAAGCCTTACTCCAGAGGAAACTAGGGACATTTTGTCCACCACCCAAAACAAGTTAGATTTCGAAGCCATCAGTCAAGCCTTGTCTGCACTTTGGGACGAACAGTTGCTTGGCCACCGATATTCACAACATGCTGGACGTCATGGAAGTTCTAACAATGCTCTATGGCATGAATGGCATGATGATGGTTGGGATGATGGCTATGAGATTAACTATGATGAGATGTGGAACTGGGGAAACGATGATGTTTGGTGGAATGATGGTCAATATCATGATGAATGGCATGAACATGAATGGCCCGACGAAACCTCCTCTGCCAAGGACGTTCAGACTACCTTGTCACCAGATGAGGAAGAGCGACTTCAAGATGCTCTTCAAGCCGAGCAAGTCGCAGAACAACTTGCTGCTGAAGCTAGGCGCACTTGGCAAGAGGCCCAGAAAACGACCCAACAATTGAAACGTGATCGAGGTTTTGGACATGTCAACACTGTCAACAATGGTCGTTGTTTCAACTGTGGTGGTAACCATTTGGTTAGGGATTGTCCTGATAGACGTCATGGGAACTACCCCAAGGGCAAGTTTTCTGGGAAGGGCAAGGGCATGCACCACATGATTGACCCCAACGATGCGTTCTTCCAAAACAAAGGCAAAGGCAAGAAAGGTAAGTCAAAGTTTTCCCACGTGTCTGAACAGGAGATGTTTTGGAGCTCAAAGGGCAAGAGTCCTTACCATTCGAAGGATGGCAATGGCAAGGGCTTTAGCAAGAACCCTGTGAATGCCTATGCGCTCTACGGCATGGAACTGGCCTCAACGACAAAGGCATCAACTGGTGCTAACTCTAGCTCTTTGGCTTCACAAGCTCACGGCATGTTGGACTGTGGAGCAACTGCCTCTGCAGCACCTGAAGTTTCTGCCCAGGAGCTGGTGAAAGCTGTTTTGTCTCACGATCGACAGGCAACCGTGAACATTCTCTCAGCACAGCGGCCATACTTTCGCTTCGGCAATGGGAAGTGGGGCAGAGCTAGGTACAAACTGGAAATTTGTTCGGATGTTCTGGTCAAAAGAAAACGTTTTCATTGTATGCACTTCCAAATCCAATTGAGTTTTACCAGCCCAACTTTGACAAGTCACAGCTTGTCCCCATTTTGATTGGCATGGATCATCTTGGTGCACATGGTTGTCAAATGTTGGTTGACTTTGGATCTGGTTTAGCGATGGATGGCGTTGATGATAATCCAGAAGTATATCAACTACCAGTCAATCCGAAGAAACACTATATGTACGATATTTTATACCATCTCACACGTGGTCAAACCAGAGCAGAAGGGCATGCACAAGTGAATGTTGTTGCTGAAGCTGATCCACTTTTTGCACAACCTGTTTTGCAGTTTCGTCCTCTTGATTTTTACACTACCCAGCAGACATGTTCCTCTTCCTCTTCTACATCTTCTCCTCTTAAACATGATCGTGAAGAGCTGTTGCGAAAACTTTTTCGATGTGGCCACAACATGGCTCAGATGGGCAACTCTGCCGACAAAGAAGTTGTAGAAGCCCCCGCTCCTACCACTGCGACTGGCAATGGCGACCTCGTCTCAAAGCCTGACTCCTGTGGAGGAAGCGGAGGTGCTGACCAATGTGAAAGCCAACGCAAAGAGCAAAGCATGTGCTCGCCCGTTGGGCCCAGAGAGAACAATGTCCTACGATCCTCGAGATCCACGTGCTTCACCGGCGACATGGCCGTGCAATGGAAAGCATGTGGAGGGGACCCACAGGGCAATCCACATGGCGCTTGGGCCAATTGCGAAGGTTGTGCCCTCCGCCTGTGGTACCAGCCAAGGAAGGGATCTCCTTCCAGCCACACCGTGGTCAACAATGCGGCGATGGTTCAGAAGGCCTTGATGCTGCTCCAGCCGATGCTTCGTGGTGCACTTCCGACGGAAGAGATCGTGAAAGCCATGCTGGACAAGATCACCGCGGAGGAAACGCTGAGCAACAAAGTGCAGTACCTGCTGGAGAAGCCCAACGTCGAGAACTCCTTGAAGGTCCCAAAGTCCAAGGCAGCCTCAAAGAATGTGGAAAAGAAGATGGTTGTCACCATGGGCTACATGGACCAGAGCTCGCCGATGACAAGTCCTTCCGACAGCAGCTGGGATCCGATTTTGGATTCACCAGATCGTCGCAACCTGGAGGACTTCCTGACCGAGCAGGAAAAGATCGACTTGCGCAACCTGGTGCTTGCAAGAAAGGGGATGGCACCACCCGACGAAGTCATCCTGACCGAAGAAAGCCAATGACTTCTTCGAGCCTGCCTTTGACCACTACGATGGGCTCCAAGGTCATGAAGATGGTGACGATGATGACGGTAACTATGAGTCACCTCGCCTTGCAGATTGCCATGGATGGACGGGAATGTCTATGGGAGATTGCATGTGCTGACAACAGTTGGCTGACTCAAGCGGCTCTCAACCATGGTTTACCAGCACGAAGGATCAACTATAAGCAAGGTTTTGACCTTTACAAGAAGTCTGCATGGATGGAGATGGAACGCCTGCGGAAGATCAAGCGTCCCAAGAAACTTTGGCTCTCACTACCGTGCACTCATTGGTGCCAATGGACCAATGTCAACTACAACACTGACGAGCGCAAGGCGGTCCTCGAAGATCTTCGTCGACGAGACCGTCGAATGATGCACTATGCCAAAGACTTCATCCTCAATGCTGTTGATGATGACCCAGACATTGATGTGTACTGGGAGTGGACTTTTCCATGTTCTGGATGGTCTCAGCCTCCTATGGTCTCGCTGCAGCATGGACTTTTGCAACGTGGCTAATCATGGGAGCACTGTAGAATCGATGGATGTAACTATGGGATGCGAAACTCCGATGACTCAGCGTTCATCCACAAGCGCTGGGAGATTCGCACCAATGATGAGCTCTTCCATCGCAACTTCAAGTGCAAGGTTTGCCCTCGAAATCATCAGCATGCTCTCATACAGGGGATTGAAACAGCTCGCTCTGCATACTATCCAGTGCGGATGGTGGAAGCAATTGTGCGGCATTGGAAGAATCAACTTGCTCCTCAACGCCATGTACAAGCCTTGACCTCTCCTGACGCTGCGGTGCACTCCAAGCATGCAGAGTGTGATGTGAAATGGACTCAACGTCTTCAAGCTCTACCTGTTGAAGAAGTTCTTCCTCCTGTACCTGATGATGGCGATTTGTCTGACGGCTATGAACCTTCTATACTTGAAGCTCCTCAACATGGCGATGATGTCTCTGAACAAGAATGACAAGAATGGTATGCCAAACTGCAGCACTACCACCGTGCAGCAGGACATCCATCAAACAGGAACTTGATCCACCTTTTCCGTGATGCTGGTCTCCCCAAATGGAAGATCGAAATGGCTCGCGACCTTCGATGCGATGCTTGTGATCGACTTCTACAAGGCAGCAAGAGTTCAGGTGAAGTGCCAAGGGCAACCACTCACCCCTTGTGCAAAGCATGGGAAATCGTTGGAGCTGACTCCAGCGAATGGCATGTCCCCGACCAGAAGATCAAGATCAAGTTCATCTTGCTCATTGACTTTGCCACCAAGCTCCGTGCGGTGTATGTGGTGAAATCGTATGGGCTGACGCAAATGTTGTCCGAAAGCTCTGAAGATGTCATCAAAGCGATTGCTGAAAAATGGTTGGCCGATAAGCCTAAACCTCGACTTGTTGTGCCTGACAACTCCTCTGTCTTTACGGCCACCGACGTGAACGAGTTCCTCACCAATGTGGGCATCCAACTCAGCTTGCCGGCTGAGAAGGAATCATGGGCTCATGGACTTGTTGAGTCAGCAATCAAAGATGTGAAGATGACGGCTTCTGCAATTCAGCTTGGACAACCAACTCTACCTCCTGATGTTTCTCTCCAACTTGCGTGTGCGGCTCTCAACAGTACTGAGTACACAAAGGGCTACTCCTCTTTTCAGTGGTGCTATGGCAAGGACTACACCATAACCGATGAAGAGATCAGAACCTTTGCCAGCTTGCCGGACATCACCAAGCACTTTGAGTATGAGGCCCTGGTTCGAGCTCGACAAGGTGCTGAAGAAGTTGCACGTCGTACCAGAGCTCTACGTGTGATGTCAAAGCTCAAGAACTCCAGCGTGAAGCAGCCTTTGCGCACCTTCGAACCTATGGACTTAGTCATGGTTTGGCGCAAACAATGGCCTGCACACCTACTTGCTCCTGGCCGACGTGGTGGTTTTCAACGAAGTATCAAGCCTCACTGGATTGGTCCAGGACGTGTGGTTTTCCATGAAGTGCTTCATCATCAAGAAGAAGGCGATGAGAGAAGACACATCCTATGGGTGTTGGTGGGATCGCAGCTGTTGCGCTGCAGTGCTCATTCGGTGAGACCTGTCACCGACACCGAGCGTGTCACCTTTGAAGTGTGCGACAAACAAGACGTCACCAAGTGGAAATCCTTAGCTGATTTCCTACCTCAACGTGAATACCTTGACATCACTGATCAGGTTCCTGGTGAAGATGAACGTGAACATCCAGATCTACCTGATCGACCCGACGAATCGACAGCTGTGCCTGCGGCTGTGGCCAAACAGGCCAAGAAGGTTTTCCAGAAAGGCGTCACTTTTTCTGATCCTGCACTTCAACCGCGCTCCAAGATCGTTGGCAAGAAATCCTTGACTCCAGATGACTGGAAGCCCAAAGCAGGTGATGATGATGTTGAACTACTACCTGAACCTGGCAGTGCTTCTCAACCTGCAGCACTGGAACCTGCGGCATCTGACTCTCCTGGCTTGGAAGAGTTGCTGGAACGCGATGTCAACGACTATGATGTCTCTCCTCGACCTCTACCTTACCCTAAGAAGCAAAAGATCAACGATGACAAAGACATGAGAACCCTGCTGAGGGAACAACATTCCTCTCAGTATGACCTCAAATGGGTGGAGGAACTACATCAACCAGATGATGGACTTTTGGACTTTTACCATCTGGTTGTTGACAATGACTTGGATTGCCTCTCCATGCAGTTTGACTTGGACTTTATGTCAAACCGGCAGTTCAAGAGTTTCCTCAGAAGCCCCACTGCGTATCTTGTCAAAAAGATGCGTGACTCTGAAGTGGTTCTCAGCAAGCTGTCTCCTCAACATCGTGAACTTTTTGCTCGTGCCAAGGGCAAAGAAATCGACAGCTTCCTCAAGAATGAAGCAGTGAAAGCCTGCCACCGAAATGATGAAGTGCGAGAAGCAATGGGCGGTGGACGCATTGTTCGTGCTCGCTGGGTGTTAACCTGGAAACTTGTGCCTCCTGAAGATCAAGATGAAGCGCGACAAGATGCTTCAACGAACCCTTCCTCAACATATACTTCAGATGGTCTCATGAAGGCGAAAGCACGCATTGTGCTACTGGGTTTTGAACATCCTGAGATCGGCAATGTGGACTACAAAACGTCCTCACCTGTGCAGTCTATGTTGGCGCGCAATTTGCTCTACCAGGCCACTTGCCAACACTCATGGCAACTTGAAGGTTTGGATTTAGCAACTGCTTTTCTCCAGACGGCTCCTACGTCTGCAGATGCCAACTTGTGGACTTATGGTGTAGCTGAACTTCGCTCAGCACTTGGACTTGACACCAATGGCATCATGAAAGTCATGCGAAACATCTACGGCAGCACTACTGCTCCCCGTGGACTATGGCTTGACCTGCACAAGACCCTCACTGGACTTGGCGGATATCCTGCCTTGGGTGAAAGATGTCTTTGGGTTTGGTATGATGAAGACCCTGAAACCCAACAACCATTCACCATTGGCATGATGGGTGGTCATGTGGATGACTTTCACCGAACTGGTGACCCTAACAATGCAAAGTGGAATGAGGTTTGCAGAAAAATAGATGCAGCGTACCGATGGGGAACAGCCAAACACTCTGCATATCGTCATGCTGGCACTGACATTCAGGTGAAGCGCGACAACGATGGCGACCTTGTCATCTCCGTCAGCCAGCAGTACTATGTGGACTCCCTCCCGGACCTTGACATCCCTGCAGATAGATTACGACAAGAAGATGCACGAATGACCTCTCATGAGATTGCTGCTTGCCGAGGTGCTCTTGGCGCACTACAATGGCTGGCAATACAAACTCAGCCTCAACTTTGTGCTCGTTGTAATCTCCTCCTCACTGAAGTCATCAAGTTTGGGAAGATGAGTTATGCCATGGAAATTCAACGTATGATTGGCGAAATTCGCCGTGAATCCTATGAGGTCAAGTTCTTCAAGCACAAAACTGCGAAGACCTGGCGCGATGTTTGCTTCATAACAATGGCCGACCAAGCGCATGCGAATCGAGACAAAGGTGATTCGACTGGGGGGATCATCACTTTGATGAGTGGTCCTGAAGCTCTGAAAGGAGAAGTTTGTCCTATGTCTCTTTTGGCTTGGCGAACCTGGAAGCTTCGTCGCAAGGCTCTTGGATCCAATGACGCAGAAGTTCAAGCAGTACTTGAAGGTGAAGATTGGAATTTCCGCGCCCGACCCCTTTGGTGCGAAATTCATGGTGCTGGACTTTCTCGTCCCCGCGATGCCAACAAAGTGGAATTTTCAAAAGAAATGGTGCAACAAGTAGAAGGACTTCTTTGCACTGAAAGCAAAGCTGGTTTCGATGCAGTGCTCTACAACGAGAGTCCTCTTCTTGGTTTGAGCAACACCCGCTCTGCACTCCAAGCTCTACAACTTCGAGAATACCTTCAGCGTGCTGGCTCCAAGCTACGCTGGGTAGCCAGTGACTATGACCTGGGTGACAGTTTGACAAAGAAGCGTCCAGACTGTCGAGTTGGCCTCCAGAAGTTCCTCAAGACATGGCTGTTGGCTGTAAAATACGATCCGCAGTTCATTGCCTCAAAGAAGAACAAGAAGGAAGGAAAAACAGCGATCAATCAGATCAACGACTACCTGAGTGGCAAACCTGATCTTTCTTTCTATGCTGGTGCAACTGATCCATGTCAGGTTCGCCACTACGACTTCATGTTCGACCACTGGCCCTTGTCTGCAATGCTTGGCTCAGGAGGGGCCCCTTTTCTTTAATAGATTAGACCCAGCCTCGACCTATGGGCTGCTGACTTTGGACTCTGCGTCCAACCGGTGAAAACAGAGCTGAGCGCTCTTTTGCATTTGGTGTTTGAGTTTGAGCCCGACACGTTGCCACTGTGTGCCTGCTGCAGTATACCCATATATATATAATTCTATATATATAATTATGTATATATATATATATAATTATATATATATGTATATGGTCAGGAAACCTGTCCAGTATGTTCTTTCTTGTTCATGGTTCCACCACAGAATATACAGGTGTTAATGGTCAAACACGATGTGTACAACCAGCAATGGGGATGTCATCAGGATGTCATGGGAATATTTCCATCCATTTCCATCCGGATCTGGCTGATCAATGAGGGATTAGCAACAACAAATGGGAACATCAAAATGTGGTAAAGCCATCAATATACAAGAAACTTAATGGGATAAAATGATATAAAATGGGGATGGGATAGAATCACAACTATGCAATGGGTGTGCTCGTTGAACCATTTTTTTCTGTCAGGACTGGATCAATCTACCAATCAACATCGGGATATGCCGCATATGCCGACAATTTGATTTGTTCTTCAATCAAATGATTTGATGTTCAACCAATTTGAATCCCATTTGTTGTTCAACCACTTGTAAATGGAATTATCATGTGTATCCATTTGTTGATTGATAAATGGTGGAATTACCCACTGAAATGGAACCATCCATGAATGGGCTCGTTACTAACCCCAAAGGTGGCATCCAACATGGCACAACCATCCATAATCCGTCGATTTCCAAGCCTTTGGGAATCAGTTTTTTTGAAAAAATGCTGTGATGGGACCTCTAAAAAGGTGTTGATCTTTTTGAAATTTGTCATATTTGTATATACTGATTGTGCATTTGGGTTGTTTTCAGCTGAGCCGTTTGGGGTTTCCAACCTTCGTCAAAACGGGTGCATGCCACGGGTCAATCTCAGAAGCCAATGGATACCATGCCAATACCATGCCATCCATTGGATTTACCCTATGTTTGATGCTTAAATTCTCCACGGGGAATCCCATATGGCTGTGCCATTCATCAATTCCCCTTGTGTTCCGAACTGAAAACGTGGAGAAAATTGGGAGCCTCCAACAACATCTGCACGATGTCGTTGTAATCACCTGACGCAGCTTGACGTCGTTTTGAGTCACCATGGGAGGAGCCCTGACATAAATGGAACTGGCGAATCACTTCCATGAAAACATCCATGGTATCATGGTTGTTGTGATGTTGTATGGTTTACCCTCTGGTTATGACTAACATAGCCATGGAAAATGGCCCATTTATAGATGGTTTACCGTTCTTAAAAATGGTGATTTTCCATGGCGAACTGTTAGTATTAGTCAGAACCAGATGGTTTACCTAAGAGGTACAACATACCAAAGTACCAAAGACTTAAGCTATTGGCCGCAACCTCAAAATGGCTACTTCAAGTCGTCTACTTAAAAAGGGCCATGGTACTTTCTCGCTGGTTCATAAGGAGTCTTATGAACAGCTCATTTCCATGCCAACAAATTGATGGCCACTCTAAGATGCCTTACAAATCCACTGTTTTTAAATGTATACTGTAATATAATCATAATCATATATATAATTATATCTTATGAATTGTTACATCAATCTCCCCATATCCAAAATCAGATCATTTATGTAGCAGATTAAGTGGTAGATTACCGAACCAAGCCACCCCAGGTCGCCTCCAACGATGCACCCCATCAGCGGGGTCATGTTGTTCTGATCTCGGGCGTTGACGTCGGCCTTGGTGGTTGACCTACCCCTCTGAAAAATATGAGTCAGTTGGGATGATGAAATTCCCCATATATGGAAAAATATGTTTTTCATGTTCCAAACCACGAAGCAGTTATAGTACACTAGCAGTTTCAAGGTCAAACTGAAACCGGGTCTTCCTCAAGTTGGGCATGGCAATCCCTTGAGGGAGGAGTTTCCGATGTGTTTCCAGGCTATCGTTCCTGGATTATATAAATCTTCCTGCAAAATGACATCTACTGATCCAATCCTATAGCTGTTGAAACATGATTCACATATCTGATTCAATTTCACCATAGTTGATTCAACTATAATCATCGAGGATGTTTTAATCCAGAAAGCTAATTAGCACCTCTTACTATCTGGCTCAATATCATCATATTTCACCTACAAGGTGGTGCCCCCCCCAGTTATAAATGGCTTATAATCCCATTAACTATAGATACATCACCAACAAAAACCATAGTTATTCGACTTATACACCAACTTAGCTAACTATGGTTTATAACTCCAATATTTTATGGTACGCAAATAACGAACTAGTATTCCTGGGGCTTTTGTTAACCAACATTCACATCACTGGGGGCCCTCACCTACCGCTAGAACGTGCCCACGGCTCCCCCGCCTTATGCTCCAAGAGCTTCCGGCACGTCTCCCTTGCGCCCTCCTCCGCCGCAGCACCTGATTGGAACATGGCGAAAAAATCATCAACAACTTGATCAAATCAACTATATTACCAGCAAAGATTAGTATTAATCAACATGTTTTTGAATATCAATCAAAACTGATTAATCAAAAGTAAAATTGTGGGCAACCTTCAAAACATGATTATGTAATAAAATATGTTTTGAACATGGTATCTTTTTTGGACCCCATGGTTACTCTTAAAGCCGAACTTCCCGAAAACAAAAAATATACAAGTTCGCAAGAAAATCGCATAATAACCCGGAGGAAACTTACATCTAAGAACAACATGTAGAATCTACAGTGGCACAGCGGCGCAGGCACCGCTGTTACATCGAGGTGTTCGTCTATACATCCTTTGGAGGTTCTCATACTGCCGCAGGTATCAAACACTTTCGTCTGGTGGGTATATCGATTTGCATGTGGGTAGTAGCTAGGTAGCTGGGCAAATAGCAGCAGTTTCTTTCACCCAGGATCGCAAGAAAGATCTGTCGAGAACTTCATCTAGTGTACTTACGTTCTCGTTGATAAACACCATGTTGATCCGTGCTTAGATGGGCCATGGAGTTAGTTAAGTAGTTAGTACATGGATTATAGTTTTGATATACGTAATGTATATCCCACTTACTAACTAGTTAGCTAATCCCACGGCCCATCTAAGTGTGGTATATTGACTGCCTGATTTCAAGCAGGAACATTGCTTTGATGCTTGCTGGCGCAGTAACATGGCGAACATCTTGCTGCTGCTGACTAGTCAAAAGTCAAGTTTAGTCAAGTCTTTGTTTCTATATGCGTCTATTTGGGTGGTTTCCATAAGTGTTGGTACCCCAATAGCTGGATGGTTTATAATGGACAATTCTATTAAAATTGATGATTTGGGGGTACCCATATTTCAGGAAACATCCGTTTGGCGCCCTATGTGCCCAAACAAGACTTCTCTGGGCCGCTGCGACCCTAGCAGCATGATGCAACACATGCCACGACTGTGGTGAATGTGCATCTCATAGTGTGCAATGCACAGTACAACAACAATCAACAATCAGCAATCAGCAATCAACAACCAACAACCAGCAATAACAACCAACAACCAACAACAAAAACAACAACAGCAACAACAAGAACAAGAACAAGAACAAAACCAACAGACCAACAACGAAACCAACCACAAAACCAACAACAAAACACACAAAAATAACACCACGAATAAAACAAGAGAGGCCTCAAAATCTCAAACATCAACCATCATCGTCAACACAGTAGAGGCAGGTCAAAAAAAATCTCACCCGAAACTTATCGATGCACATCTCCCCCTTGGCGACTGATACGGCTTCCAGTTACTGGGACTTTGGGACCATCAATAGGGAACCCTTGGCATCAAACTATTGTTGTAGGGCTCAATAAATTCACAAAAATGTTCACTTCTGGAAAGAAAAGAAAAAAACAAGAAAAAATGCATTCCACTAGGAGATATAGTCCCATGTTTCTTGCATTTTAGAGGTGTCATGGTCAAAGCAGGGTATGAAATAATTCTTGTTATCCCACCATCAGATATTCCCCTATCGATATTAACCCCTATCGATGGCTTTGGTGACAATACCCGTTTATGGTAAATATCAACATGTTTTACACATGGAACACATAGCTACACTGATCTACACTGATATCACACATATTCACGGGTCATCTCACCTAAATGAGCAGATAAGGCACTTCGACATCGGGTTAGCGTCATGTTCCCATAAAACAAATCAACATAACGAAAAAAACAATGCTGGCACGGCTGCCGGATTGCCCTGTCTCATTTCAATGCTCATCGCACCGCATCATTCGCCATAAAAGAACATTGCTGGATGTATTCAGCCGGGCACCAGCAGATCCATAGTTTCCAAACATTGACAGAATATTCGATTTTTGCCGTTGAACCAGATTGAAAAAGGATGAAACAGGTAGCGATTCCGACATCATTGGTGATTTTACCAAATTCCTGATGTTAATTACCATTTTACACTGGCAAGGAAACTAATGGTTACTAACCTGGCGATGTTACCATGGACCATGTTCTACTAGATACCAAGCTTTCTTCATATTTTCCATAAATCAATGCGGTAAACCGCGCATAGACCGTCCATTTTTTTTTCGCCGCTTAAATGGGTTGCATTCAGACTCCATCCCAACTGGTCGATTTTAATGGGAAATTGGGTGAATCCCATGGTCGACTTGTCACATTACAATCATTTTTGTGATCAAATTCCATCATCAATGATCATCAATGATTAATCATCTCAATGATGACCAAAAAAATATGAATGAAAATCAACAATTGATCATCTCAATATATTCATGATATTTCATGATTATTCCTCAGAAATCTGGGCAAATTACAATAATTCACTAACCTGAAAAGTTCGGCCATTTTGGGGATGATTCCCCTTATTAACCATGATTCCAGGGTTCGGTCAACTGCGCCACCGGTCGTTTTTCAAAATGCCGAGCCCCGAGCGGAGAAGACAGTAATGCCAATCGCTGGTGCGCCTTGAAATGGTCGTGAAATTTTGGGGTGATATTGGGTGAATCATAGGGACACTGATGCTAGGAACATCTAGGCTGGTTGGTGGTTGACCTACCCCTCTGAAAAATGATGGACTTCGTCAGTTGGGATGATGACAATGACATTCCCAACTGAATGGAAAAACAAACAATGTTCCAAACCACCAACCAGACTATCTACTACTATCTGAATTCTTGTAAAATGGAAGTAGGGAAAATAATGGGAACATGAACATCTAACTAATAATTAGATATGCACATTTGGTGGCTGAACTGACATCCAATATGAACATCTATGATAGTAGTTTTTTTCTGAATGGCTGAAAAACAACTATATATTTGCTATCTAAAATGGAGGTGGCGAAAATCCATGGGGAAAATCATCCCAACGAACTGGGAAAATTGCAGAAAAGGATAGTCATCCGCATGGATGATTGTCCCAGGGAACGAGCCACCGATTTCCGGGCCATGTTTGATGACACCGGAGGGCCTCCCATGCTTCCTGGCTGCGCCTCCGGTGTTGTGAGATGAAAAATAATCCTACTCCAAAGATACAAATATAAGATGCACACCATTTAAGAGAACAATTCCTGACCATCTTTGGCAATTTTTTGGGTCGTTGTGAGCTTCAAAAATAAGGTACCAATACTCATTTAAGCTACGTATCCTATTTTGGGGTTGCTCGAAAAATCCTATGATATAATCGAGCCCATGCCATTTAATGGAGCTTTCCTAAACTACAATGTGAGGCGCCCGTTCGATAGCTAAGTTGGTTTATAACTCCAATAACTATGGTTTATGGTACTTATAACTATTATAGTCACTGGGGCTTATAAACCAACTTATAACTGGGGGCCTCACATTGTAGGGGTACCTCAATTCCCAAATCATCCATTTTTTCCCATGGACTTTGCATGTGAAATAAACCATCCAGCGATTGGGCTATCCCCAAGTTGGCTCCATTCCCCCCATTGAGTCTCCACCAAGCCACGCGTTCACGTCGCATTCTTCAGGCCTGCATGGCGTGGGGAAAGACAAATCAGCAAGAACAGTTACAGACATTTGAACTGGTTGGTGGTTTTAACCATCTTGAAAAATGATGGACTTCGTCAGTTGGGATGATGACATTCCTAACTGAATGGAAAGTCATAAAAGCAATGTTTGAAACCACCAACCAGTGAACATACTCAAGTAAAATGAGATGTAATCATCTTACGACAGAATGGGGAAATACCATACGAAAAAAAAGGGAGTTCCGATCGCTCAAAGTCACATGAGTCATACTTATAATTATATAATATTTTCTTGTGACATCGTTTTTTGTTGTTGTTATTGTTCTTGTTCTTGTTGTTGTTGTTGTTGTTGTTGTTTCAATGGTTAATAGCTACTCATATGGAAAACAAGCAACTACTCATATATCCACCGTCAATACAGCAACTACTGTACTGCGGCCAAACCGAGTACGGTTCCGTGGTCGGCCGTGAGATCACCCATGGTCGGCCTCTCATTCAGCAACTTTTCAGCCGCCGTCCAATCTTCCGCCTGCACGGTGGCGGTCCGTTGACAACGGCGTCTCTTCAGCGAACCCATGGTCGAAGCGCAGTTTAAAGACGTTTAAAGAAGAGAATTGCAAGGAAAAAACAACACATGGAATGTAACCATCTCCAACCCCTCCATAATAGTTCAAAACAACATGATCAAAATAAGAAAGAGTTGGTTTATATCTTCAGGACTGATAGGACTGGCCCTGGCCCATTTTCCTATCCCTCCGCATGATGGCCTGATCCCATACTCGGATGGCCGGCCATCCCAGTTGTGTAGATCTATGGTCGATCGTTATTGTTTTAGATAAGGAGTTTCCATAATAAGTGGGGATACCCTAGAAATCGCTGGATGGTTTATGTCATAGAACATCATCAAATCCCACTTGTGAGTGGATGATAACTAGGGGTACCCCTGTGACTTAGGAACCCCCCATGACTATCTGGTTGGTGGTTTTAACAATCTTGAAAAATATGAAAGTCAATGGGAAGGATTATCCCATATATGGAAAATAAAATTCATGTTCCAAACCACCACTTTGCGACACTTTGCGATGCGCGCAACGTTATGTGAGACGTTGCCCGGCAGTGTTCCAAACCACCAACCAGCTATTAACCATCATTAACCATGATTTTCACCATCATGAAACCCCACATCAACCAGCTATTGATGTTCACTTGTTTTAAGACCTACCTATATTCTGCTGGATCAGTCGTCTCAAACCGACCAGCTGGATGGTGAAATCCCTGCTGTAAAGACCAATCAACCGAGAGATTCCGAACGGTCTCATGGTCCAAAAATTGTCATGACAGCCGTGACAACTGTAGTATGATAGCTATATGATAGCTATTATGACAAGTAGATGTTGTTGTTGATAGCTATTGAATATTTTGAAAAAATATTCAAAAATATTGAAAGTCTATTTTCTTCCGGAGTATTTTTGCAACAACATAAACCACAAACCACACATTGTGGCATCTTAGTCAGTACCCAAACAAAAACCGCGGATGATTTTCCGCCTCGATAGCTTCAACCAAAGCTTGTCCTGACGCTGTGGTCAGGCTGTGGTTTCAATCTAATGTGGATATGTTTCATTAATTGGCATATGGGGGTTTTCCATAAAAGAGGATGCCCCAAAATGGATGGTTTATAATGGAACAACATAAAATGAACGGTTTACGGGTACCACGATTTTAAGATACTCCCATATGGTGTGTTTAAAGGACAACCTAGCTAATCTTTTAAGATTTGGGTTAGGCATGATAGCAATCCATAAGCCCTGAAATTCTTCTGGTTTTCACGGGAAAATCTGGATCTATTTATAAACTTCACCAGCCTTAAAAAGTTCGGCCAGGACAAGGTCACTCGTTACCTTTGTCATCATTTCTAGTGAGGTCGGGGCGACATCGTCGACCTGAGGGTATTTTCAAGAACAAACAACACCATGAATAAATATCTAGACACTATTTATAAGATTTTATAAGATGATAAAATCGCATTGTAAATGATCAAATTAACATAAAATCACACAATGTGAGGCCTCACATTGCAATATTCAAAAATTCTAAGACCCAACAGGACCCAACTTCTGTGTTCCACCTGTCGCCGTGAGGTCGTCCACTTTAAAGACTTTCGCCGCCGCCTAGCCGACACGTCACCGCTGAACGAAAGAAACATTTGGGAATGGTAACCATACCACCTATACAATGTGAGGCCCCCAAGATAGCTAAGTTGGTGAACATAACTCCAATAACTATGGTTTATGGTACTTATAACTATAGACTATAGTTACTGGGGCGAATCTAAACCAACTTATAACTGAGGGGGCCTCACATTGTATATATCTATATACTTATGGTGATGACTGGGGGATGGTTAATTTATTGCATTGTTTTACCCACATGAACCCCAACTTCCTACTACTAAAACTCCCCCAAATAAAAAAATAGGATTGGTGTGGCACTTCTGTTTGTTCTTTTGGTTGGGCACAATTGGATTCTTAATTGTGGTAATTGAGAATTAATCGGAGAACAGGATGGTGAAAAAATGGGTTCAACCATAAATTGCCACCTGGAGATTTTTTTATTAGGGTCCCATCTCACAAGTTTTTATTTTTCAGTTTTATTAAGGTTTTCATTGGAATATTAGGGGAAGGAAATCTTCGAAATCCAGTTTTTGGCAATACTTTCTATAGATTTTAAAAAGGGATTTAATCAAATTTGAAATCAAGTCTTTTTTATTTGTATTTTTAAGGTTTTCATTGGAATATTGAGGGTAAATTTCGAAATCCAGTTTTTGGATGTTTTTGGCAATATTTTATATAAATTTAAATAAGGGATTTAAGCAAATTTGAAATCGAGTTTTTTATTTTTGTCATTAAGGTTTTCATTAATGTTAGGGGAAAAAGTCGAAATCCAGTTTTTGGCAATACGTTATATAGATTTTAAAAAGGGATTTAATCAAATTTGAAATCAAGTTTTTTTTTAGTTTTGTTATTAAGGTTTTCATTGGAATATTGGGGTAAAGTTTCGAAATCCAGTTTTTGGCAATATTTTATATAGAGTTTAATAAGGGATCTAATCAAATTTGAATTCGAGGTTTTTATCTTTATTTGGGTTTTCATTGGAATATCTGGGGCACCCTAATACAAAATACACCCTGGACAGTGTTTACCATTTGGGGGGGTTTAGTAATAGGGAGAGAGGATGACTATCCAATCCATTATCACAGATTTGTAGTTTTTATTTTCGAATGTTTCATCGGATCACCATCCCAAACTAGGGATAAAAGTAACACATCAAACCGCAAAACAATCACATTTTAACATTTCATACCCCGTAATCTGCAATGTTTTCTTACATCCTTAAAATAACATATGTTTTTTTGCAGTTCACAGTTCATATCCCGAAAAAAATGATGGTAATGGTATACACGAGAAAGGATTAGGGTCTGTCTCTTACCACAGACAATATTTGTACCCCGAAAAATCGAAAACTCGTGTAAAAATCCGAAACGAAAAACAGTGATAGATGTTATCATTCTACATCGTCTTGGAATTTATTATAATTTATATAATATGAAAACACATATATTACCAGCACCTCCTCAGCTACCGTCGCAGATGGTGTAGCAGAAGTCGCCTTGCGGCCGGTTCGTGTGCAAAACCAAGACAAAGAAGGGATCTTTCAGGGATTTGAACAACAAACATGTGCAATTTGCCAAGATGCGAAACCACTAACGTAGATCTTGGAGAACATGTTGCAAAATGTAAAACCGGTGGCCATAGAAAACTAGAAAACCACAAACATAACTCTTGGGTTTCATATGTAAAACCCACATTTGGAGACTAACATAGATATTGAAACATTTATCATCATTTATCAGGACCCTTCCAGAAAACAAACGAGGATGTCGTTTTTTTTTCGTCAATTTCGTCATCTTCGTTTGTTTTAGATAGAGTAAATCATGTTGATTTCCCATGATTTAACCATCAAACAGATTGAATCATGAACGTTGGGAAGGAACCAAAAAACTAATAAAAATCAAACAATGAAAATGGCGATTTAACCATCAAACATGGTGAATAAACAAAAATGGGAAATGTTAAAAAAACATTTGTAGTTTGAAAATCAGAAAATAAAAATACAAATCAGAGCCATATCTTGCTCAAAATCATGTTTTCGGGTTCAGCATAAATTAGTTTGATTAATCGCATCCGCATTTTCAAATTGTTTCAATCACATTTTTGGAAATTTGAACAACAATGAAAATATGTTTCATTTTTCGTCTCATTGATGCAGCTCCACCAATCCAAAATGTCAGGTCATTGGGAATAAGATTGTGCCCACCATCTTTCATCAAATCCGGGACCTTGGTTTTTTGTTGGGAAAATAAAACATGATTTGGAATGACTGCCTATACATCTGGATAAATCGCCCTAATTCTCACATGGAGGTCTCCGAAGTCCTGGAGGTACCCGAAATCATCCAGTCATTTGACAGTGCCTTAGTATTGAAACCGCCCTGGTGACTTGAGGAGCCCCCATGACTTTAAAAAAAGACTCTACTTCGAGTGATCCCCACCGTGACAAAGTCTTGCCAATTGTTTCCGACATCTCATCTGGAAATATCTGGAAATTTGTCATGGCATATACTTTCTGACATTCTATTCTGGCATTCTATCTCGCATTCTAGTCTGATATTCTATTCTGGAATTCTACCTGGCATCTATTCTAACATCCTTTCTGGCATCCTTTCTTGCATCTATTCTGACATTGTCTCGGCATTCTATCTGGCATTCTTTCTGGCATTTTTTTTGGCATTCTATTTGGCATTCTATCTGACGTTCTATTCTATCTGGCATCTATTCTGACATTCTGTTGCGCCATTCCATCTGGCATTTATTCTGACATCCTCTCTGACATGGGCACTGCCCACTAAAGTCTGGAGCTCGCGATTGAGGTCCGGCAGTGCCCACTGTGATCTGGTGCTTGCTGTCGGCAGGAGGAGGAGGACGAGGAGGAGGAGGAGTAACTATGATAAAATCTAGACACCCACACCAGGCCGCTGATTTGCATTAATCACCACTATTTACCATTCTAAACATTATTAAACACTATCAAACATCATTAACCACTAATCACAGCTATTACCCTCCAGTAAATTAACATAAGCTGTGCCAAATACGGGTTGGACGATTAGTGTCCACTAAAAGAAATGTCTTTTCAAGGTCTATGATAATTTACCAGAGCGTAAACAATATGTCATTAACCATCAACCACCAATATCAACCAACGACCTCGCTGCGAGCTCCGGCCTCCACCACGGGCAACGCGGGCTCCGAAAGGCTGACGGCCGGCGCCTGCAGAACGGACAATTCACACGGATAAAACGAGATGTTTTGAGGTGAAACCTTGTGAAAGGTCCTGTTGTTGTTGTGGTTGTTATGGTTGGGGTGGTTGTTGTTCTTGCGGTTGGTGGGGTTGTGGTCGTGGTTTGTTGTGGTTTGTTGTGGTTTGTTGTGGTTTGTTGTGGTTTGATGTGGTTTGTTGTGGTTTGTTGTGGTTTGTTGTGTTTTGTTCTGTTTTGTTTGTTGTGGTTTGTTGTGGTTTGTTGTGGTTTGTTGCCCTTTTGTGGTTTGTTGTGGTTTGTTGTTCAATGTTCATTGTCTATTGTCTCTTGTCTATTGTTTAAACAGGTGATATGGCAGTTGTGATTGTTAATGTTGCTATTGGTGTTTATTGTTATTGTTGTCATTGGGGTATTGCGGTTATTGACGTTGTTGTTATTGTTGCTGGTGTTGTTGGTGTTGTTGTTGTTGTTGTTGCTGTTGCGGTTGTGATGGTTGTTGGAGTGGTTGTTGTTGCTGCAAATGATGCAATTGTCGCTGTGGCTGTCGTTGTCTTTCTTGTTGTCGCTGCTGCTGCTGTTGCTTGCTGCTGCTGTTGATGTTGTTGCTGTGGTGCATTGAACGTGCTTATTGACGAGATTTGCTTGACTGTCGGTATCGGTTTTGTGCATTGTGGAACATGATGCGATGATTATGATTAGTTGTGTTGTTCAATCATTAATGTTGGGGTTCACCGGCAGATTTACTTGTCATGGTCGAACAATACCGCCACCGAGATGTTGCGTGGACCCTCAGGAAAAACGAACACAGTCTCAGAAGTTTCTTGGGGTGTATCGTATTGTGTAGCATGGATGGCCACACCCAAAGTCCTGCTTGGGTTATCAAAGGCCTGCTATCAAATTCAGTGGCAATATTGGATTAGAGATCCTTTTGAACGCAACCTGTACCATTTCCATATTTTTGGAAATGGTGACTTTCGGTCGGTCAAAACAATGTTTTCGTTTTTCCTCAATCAAACGCAATGATTCGCCAAAAAAAACTTTTGAAAATTCAATACGCACGAAAACCACGTCCTCATCTTTAACAGATCAAAAGTCCACATGTTCGGTCCACAAAATTTTGTTGATTTTCATTTTGATGTGAAACCATGCTGAACCTTCGCAGTTCTCCAAGAAGAGAGCCACACATACATTCCACTAGACTAGAGCCTGCTAGTTTGCTAACCTGAAAACAATGGAGAGTCACCACTAGAAAAACACTTCATGAATGAGTTCCAAGGTGGTTTCACTACATTGCACCATGAAAGTATATATATAAATATATATATAAACATATCCAAAGTTACTCCAAAATAAAAAAGTTTGTAGTAATCACTTCAGTCAGCGCGAACAATGCTGGAAAGACAATTCAAACAACCCTTGGACCATCTCCATTTCACCATTTGCGCGCCTCAGCGACGCCTTCCAAGTTGGGAGACGATGGTGTGGGGACAGGCGAAGCCGCCTTCGGTGATGCTGATGAGTTTTTTATGCGCATCAACCTCCTGCTATATAGGATGTTTATTTACAAAGATTTACATACATATAAAGGCATATACACACATATAAGTACATCAATAGACACTATACACAGCAGCGAAGGCGATTTCACTCTCCGGGGCGTCGTCGTGGTTTACAAATCTGCTCCTATATGCAAATATATCTTTTAATATATATATATATATATTTATTTATTTAAGGCATGTAGAACAGCGCGACTCAAATGTTTCACGACCTGAGATTTATCAGCTAAAGTTCCTCGCTTGCCTTATGTTCTCAGGAGCCCTATCTCGCCCAAACACTACTTGCGGCTGCTGTGCTGGACACTCCATGAAGTTGACCCATGGTGCGGAGGAGTTTCATGCCTTGTTTTCGCGTGCGGCCTTGCCAGTGGATACTTCTAGGAACTCTGAGGAAGGAGACGTGTTTAGTCGCTCAGAGAAGTGGTTGTTGTCACCACCGACCGCACGACACGAGTCTTGTCTGTCTAGGGAGGAAGAAGTCTGTATGAATGGTTTTGTGCAGGAACTGATCAATTGGGCCAACTAGGCTTCCGTTGAGTTTGGACGTGAGATCGCGCAGTCAGCACGTTGGAACACTCACATATTGCTTGGAACTCACGGTGTGCTTCGTCATTGACACAATGCCTTAGCCGAACCGATTCGTTCTTTATTTCCAGTAACATGTTCTGTCCGATGCTTCGTGCAATCAGTGCATCAAATAATTTTCTTGAAGGCTGGTTTCATCACTGGATCCTTTTTTTTGGGCCAGCATGTGACCCACACTTAACATTAAATAACTATAGAAATAGCCAAGTTATCATGGGACAACTTGGGTAACAAATGAATCTATGGCAAAATACACAAATATCCCCAATCATTTGTACAATGTGAGGCCACCCAGTTATAAGTTGGTTTATAAGCCCCAGTAACTATAGTTATAAGTACCATAAACCAAAATTATTGGAGTTATAAACCAACTTAGCTATCTTGGGGGCCTCACATTGTAGAATGTCTCAGCCCAATGTCATAAATAGACCTTCAACGTGGATAGTGTGGGATGGCAAGTCGACTTGCTGAGACAAGCTTGCAACTGGCTTCCACCAGGCTGTCAGCGAGAAAAAACCTGTCCTGACTTTTAGCCGAGAAATATGAAGGTTTCCTAAGTCATAGGGGTACCCCTAGTTATCATCCATTTATACATCGGATTTTCCATTTTTGTTTAAGCATCCAGCGATAAAGGGGTACCCCAACTTTATGGAAACCCCCATCTCAGTCGATTTTTTTCGGACCATCGATCTGTCGATCCTGCATGATTTTGTTCCACGGGATTCCACGAGAGAGTTTGCTCCATTGAGTTACAGGATGTTCTTGGTGGTTGACCTACCCTACCCCTCTGAAAATATGATGGACTTCGGAATGTTGGCTTCTGGATCACTGGTTGGTGGTGCGTTTTAACCATCTTGAAAAATGATGGAGTTTGTCAATGGGAAGGATTATTCCATATATGAAATGGACAGTCATAAAATTCCATGGTTCCAGTCACCACCAACCAAATATCATTAACCATCATTAAACCATTATTAACCATCATTAAACCATTATTAACCATCATTAACCATTGATTAACCATTGATTAACCATCATTATTAACCATTGAGTTACAGGATGTTCCTCAGAACTCATGGCTGGAAGCCTCCGAACTCATGGCTGGAAAGTCCCCGTTGCGGATTTTCCCCAAGATTTCCCCAGCCACCTTTGGGGTAGTACGAATTGGGCATACCGTCCAGGGCGATGCCGGATGCCAAGATTGGCTGGTTTGGGGGAAACCCCCATGTCTAGACACACATAGTTCATAGATCTTGGCTCTATGTGCAATTGTTCCCCATTAAAAACAATTGTACCCAGTTCTATCACCACCATATTGTATCCCCATGAGATATATCAAACTTGTCAGAACCAGTGACAAACCCAGATGGCATTGTCTGAGTATGATTATATCGACTAGCCAACCAACCATCACATACCAACATTACAAGATACTCAAGTACTGTACCCTCTGGTAAACTAACATAGCTATGGAAAACCACCATGTTTAATGGGTAAATCAACTATAAATGGGCCATTTTCCAGTTCGCTTTTTGTATGTTTACCAGGCCGGGTAATTATGGCGGCCACATCATGATCCCCCAGCAGATTGATTGGGGACCCCATCTTCAAACAAACTCACAAATATGACGGTCGCGAACAACACTATCTCAAGACATGCCCATTTTTATACAAGTGCAACAACATATCTTTCAGATTCTATCACCATTGCATTCCCATATTATTCAATAGATGATGATCGTATATCTGTTTAGCCCATAGAACTATATACAACTATCAGCTGTTAATGGGATTATTTGATGATGATGGGATTATTTATTGTATATACTGTTTATATACTTCAAAAATAATTGAATAATTCTGTACATCATCATCTGTGGCTGATGACAATCACAAAAAAATAGCAACAAGTACCCAAAGTCCGTTATCCCAAGGCCCAAATATGGCTGAACCCTCACCTCGCATGGTGAATCATAACGCATATCATGTTATTCCAAAGGTTACCTAATGATGATGCCGTTGAATATTTAGATCATCGTCTATAATACATATACATGGTTCATAATGATCTATACTGGTTCATAGTGACATATCATGATTCATAACCATATAATATATATATATCATATAATCTATACTGTATACAGATCATCCCATAGTACATGCTAGATATCCTGAATAAATTGATACAGTTGTGATTATCTATTGGGTACCATCCTATATATACTATCAATGAATCATACAGGTTATCTTACATTATTGTACATCATCTACAAGGTGGTGCCCCCCCATGAAGTAGCTAACGAACTGGGGCACCACCTTTTGTATTACATATATTATAAAATATTGATAGTTGCTAAAGCAATGTCATAAACCACCAATTTTTTTTGGTTTATACCACCATGGTAAAATTGGGGATGGTTTACATAAGGTTTACACCCAGAGATTGTCATCCGCCTTCGCCTCTTCAGCCTCAGAGCTGTTTGGAAAATGTACCAAGGTTGGAGCAACAAAAGGGGTTTGTCCTAAACAACAGATGGTGATTTCAGTAACAACCCTGCCAATTCTGGAGCTGAACATTGGATTACCCAACGTAAATGATGGGTTAAACATGATGTTTCATGATTTAACCTGCAAAAACTAGCATAACCAGCAAACATGAAGGAACAAATCATGATAAATGAACCATTTGCCACCAAAGAATGGAAGCAACGAATGGTCGTTCGGTCCCAGCCACCGGCGCCAGCGGCGCCACCGGCTCGGGCACAGTGGATGGAGGCACCTTCGGACACAGGGCGGGCGGTTAGAGCACCAGTTATAAGTTGGCTTAGAACCCATTATAACCTCCATTAACTTACCCATATGCTCCATGGTGCTGGTATATTTGCCTACATTTGCCCTAATAATCACCCAAATGTAGGTAAATAATACGTTGTAATACCATTTCCATGTATGGTTGATATATGTTGATAAACATATGATTAATGGGAATTATATCAGCAATATACTGTAATTGCCATCGGGTTATGACTAACATAGCCATGGTATAGATGGCCCATAGAAATAGATGGTTTACCGTTCTTAAACATGGTGGACCTTTCCATGGCGAACTGTTAAATAACCAGATGGTATAACCCCCATTAACTTAGTTACCGGTATATCATAGTTAACTACCATAAACATCCATAAACTATAGTTAAGCCGTTAAGCCATGTTAAGCCACTTATAAGGCAACTTAGCTCTTGGGGGCCCCATCCTGTAGAAATATGATGAAATATGTCGAAATATCAGGAATATGTTTGGGATACCATCTGGTTATGACTAACATAGCCATGGAAAATCACCATTTTTAAAAAACGGTAAACCTCTATTTCTATGGGCCATTTCCCATGGCTATGTCATAGCCAGAGGGTATGCCGAAATCTGAGGCGGCGGCTTTCCAACGGCCCCATGAAAGACCAGGGGTTAAGAACACCCCAGCTGAAACATATCATTGGGAATCATTCGAACGTATCATTCCAAAATATCCCAAATATATACTGAGAAAACCGGACACAGAAGAGGAACACAATTTGAAACCACGAATCGCCAGACTTTGCCACCTCCAACATGTGTCGAACGCTTCACTGGACACGGTATACATCTCAAAATATTTGGGTTTGTACAATGTGAAGCCCCCAAGATAGCTAAGTTGGTGCCAATAACTCCAATAACTATGGTTTATGGTACGTAAATAACTATAGTTACTGGGGCTTATAAACCAACTAACATCACTGGGGGGCCTCACATTGTATGAAAATAGGATACCCCAACTTCCTTCCCGTACAAAATCACAATTTTGGGGTCCCATTTCCGGACACACCCATTTGAAAGCTCCGAAAACCATCGGTACCCAGCGGGAATCAACGGGTGACCACAACGTATCAATGATTTGATCGAATGGGATTTAACCATTAGATCCATTCGTGATTGAATGGAAGTTCATGGGAATGAACTATGAATTTTCATGGGATTGAACCCAATATACAAATAATATAGTTGTAAAATAAATTTTATGGATACAAATAATCCCATATACAGTCATATACATATATATATATATATGTTTCAAGTTATATGTCCCCCATCGACAATAATTAACTGACCTTCAGTTCAAAGTGAACTGTTCGCTGCTTCGTTTTCTCACCTTCTGGGGAACCGCGCCTGCGAAGACTCCGCTTGGGATTTCTCCTGCACCCGGATCATCACACCAAAGTGAGTCAGACTTTCTCAGACAGTTTCTCTTAACAAAAAGATGGACAGCAGAACATGGAAACTCTGCTTATTGAGTAGAGCGGCTCCGCAAAAAGCCATGTCAACGTCTGATTATATAATAAACTCTGTTCAGAGCTGAATCAAAGGGAATTAGAGCAGAATTACCTGCACAAATTATGGTATATCACATTGTAAGTTACTAAACTATACCTATAACCCATAGGATCCATGTATGCTATATATGGTAACATGGATCCCATCAATTTACCCCCAATGTTAGTATACCATACATGGATCCTATGGGTAATTGCTATATTTGGTTTACAGTATATACACCCTAGAAAACTGGGAGCTTCGCCTTGGGCGTCGCAGCTTCCGCTGGCGCTTCCGCGGCGGACTTGCTGTCGGATGCCTGCCATCGAAGACAGAACGCCCCGGGCGTGTTCACAGAAGTAGCAACACTTCCTAGAAACACTTGCGAAACAACAAGACAAATAAGACAAGAACTAACGACTTACATACTTAACATATACATTGACATACATGTATGCATAAAAATATGGTGCAACTGGGATTTCGATACAGCAGAAACGCATGACTCAAGTCCATTAAACATTAAACCAACAATTATGGACAAAAAAATATATCAAGACCATTTATCAATGACCTGAAGATCGAAGATGCCCATTTTGTGAAGAAAATGGGGGCATGCCACGTTTCAACATCGCCATGGCGCTGACGGCGCTCACCGGAACCGCACCTGCGGCGTCTTGGCTTTCGCTGAGGCGCCAACACCCATGGCCGTAACTTGGTTGGAGCTTTCCAACCGGGCACAAGTGCTCAAAGGCTAGCCATCATTAAAAACATGTGGGAAAATCTTGGGAAATCACATATCAAACCCTCAGGACCTTAGGACATGATTTTTTTGAGTGACTTTTCTAGCTGAAACCACACTTTTTTTTGTTTCGAAAGGGGATGGAACTGGGATGATCTTCACTACTGGAAAGATCACCCGCACTTGTTGTGAATCGGAAACTATCGGCACATGTTTGACAGGGAACCTGAATTTTGCCACCATGAGTGAAAACTTTATTTGGAACACCTAATTACAAACAAATGATGGAAAAACAATGGCTAATGTGGTTAAAACAATGCCATAAACCATCCCCCAGTCATCACCATTTTTATAGGTGGTATTTTTGCACCATTCCCAGTCATGGCTAGTTTACGGCAGTGTTTTAACCACATTACTGGTGATTCTTGGCTACTGTTGCTTCGTGCTGTCGCTGCCATCACCGCGGCCAGTTGCCAAGTTGCCGGATCCACACATCCAGCGACGTAAAACAGCGAATAAGGATGAATAAACATACATGATTATCATCTTACTGGTGCTTAGTAAGGAATTGATGGGAATGGGGGAATGGGATGATTATTACTAGTGATTATGGCTCATTCCCTCATTCCCTGCGTTTAGCACCAGTAAGTTATCAATTACGATAAGTAAGGTATAAAACATTATAAAACATCCTTTTTGCAAGACACCCATTCATACCTTTTGAATCCTTTTGACCCATCCCGATATCAGCAAGGTAAACGTCAGGCAGTTTGCTCGATCTTTCGGAATGAACGTCCAGGTTCCGCAGAAGAATTGTCCATGATTGTACACCCAAATTGGACACCACACAAGTATATTGAATGGTCATCAGAGTCATCATGATCATTTTGGAATAGATGGTGAATTAAACCTTACCACTGGACAGTAATATTTGGCCCGGCATTGGAGTTTACCATCAACTCAAAGTTTCTCCCCAAGGTCTGTGATACTTGGATTCCACCACAGCCCCTACAGTCGATTCATACAAGCACCGGGTCAAAAACATGCGATGAAGTTCAACCCCAGGCGGATGGTTATACTCTGCTCGTATTGGGGTTCAACCAGCCACCAAACCACATTGTATATTGCAATAAATTGCAGTATATAGTATTAGTATGTTATATCTATCTTATATGATTTCATATGTAATATTGTTAATATAGTGTTGCAGTATCTTTAACACTCCCTCATTGTAGGGTAATCACCTCCTGACTCTTGATGTTTGAGCTACACCTTAAGCTGCAAGGAAGAATCCGCAGCTTGGTTTTCTGTGTTTCATGACCTGAAAACTTCGAGTTTTCATCCCTGACCTTTTGAAAAATGGACATCTCAGATGTTTGGCATCTCCCATTTTGGGACGCAAAAAAAACGTTTTTTTTTTCCGTCTAGGTGATCTAGCAGGCACCCAGCCTGATCCAATGCCAGCTTTGCTCAGTTTCAGTCTGTGAAATCATTGGTTTGTGGTCATAACGTGGTAAAACCAATCATAGACCCCATTAACCAACCGTGACTGGGAGTACTGTGGATGGTTTCGAAATCCTGCAGCACCAGATGGTTGAAAAGTTGAAACCCTATGAATCATGGGATCAACCGGCAACTGGTGCAGGATTTCGCAACCATCCACTGTGGTAAACATCATCCCCGTTCGCGAAGGGGCTCCAATTTCAGCAACCTAAAACTTACTGGTGCTAAACGTAGGGAATGGATGTGTTGCTGGGGGTTGTTGGGATCATTCTTGATAGTGATTATGATGATTATGGATCATTCCCTCATTCCCTACGTTCACAAGAAAAATGAAGGCGTCTCCTTGAACTCTGAAGAATCCCATTCCCATTGGATCCACGATATTCCATGGCCAAGTCATAGCTGGTCCAGCTGGATGATGGAAAATTCCCCCAGAAAAAAATGGTAATTTCATAGGCAACTTGACCCCATTGAAAAAAAACATCCCCATTTTTTGTGCATACTGAAACCACCCACAAAAACAGGTTATATAATCAATTAGATCCAACAACATCCATCACGTGATGCTGTGATTTCGCAGCCTCTTTGCGTCACAGCTGTGGAATTTCTGATGTCAGCATTCTGCCGCTGGGTCAGCGGTTGCGGAACATATGAGGATCACAAGCTACGGACCACACTCTCCGCAAATTTGTTGCTATGGAAGCCATGGCTCAGCTATGTCGGTGATTTACCTCTTAAAAACGGTGATTATCCATAGTTATGTTAAATTACCAAAGATCATAATTATTATCTTTTGGGAGGATTGAACATTCATCTAAATCCAACTACCAACATCTACCAACTGTAGATGTTCACCAGGGTATCAGTCTTTTTTGACAGCCAGGATGAGGTTTTGAGCCTTTCCAGTCGAAGGAAATTTCTCAATTTGTTTTCAGACAAAGCATCAAATGGATAATGTGGTACATCATGGTACAGCCAATAATAAACCTTTCCCAAGTCATCATCACCGGAGAAACTATGGTTCGTGAACACTTTGTTCACCATCTCCAAATTTCGTCGGTTAATGCAAGGGTTGCCCACTTCTTAGTTGTTTATTTTGAAACTACCAGTCCATTGATCACAGTTTAAAACTGGTTGGTGGTTTTAACCATCTTGAAAAAAAATAGTCAGATTGGGATGATTATCCCATATATTATGGAACAAATCAAACAATATTAGTCAGATTGGGAAGAATTATCCCAGAAATATTATGGAAAGTCATAAAATTCCATGGTTCCAAACCACCAACCAGCCACAGTTTAAAATGATGTCCTGCGAACCACTGACCTCGATTGCAACTCTCGCCGTCAATGCATGGTGGCTTCTTGAGAACAGCTTCTCACTGTGGCCACGGTGAAAAAAAAATGGATCACTAAAGAAAGCCGATCCAATCAGCCCTTCAAGAAAATATGCAAAATCTGCAAATGGATGATAGCTCTGATTTCCTAAATTTCTTTAAAATCATGGGATTCTATCGGAACCATTAAATATCATTAGGGATGTGAGGTACCTGCAATCTTCCGGTTGCAACCACGATATTTCCAACATCGAATGTCGGTTGATGGACATTGCCCTCGTAAATGTCTTCACAACCCTGCGACCGCAGACTGTTGCTCCGCAGTAATTACCAAACCAACATTGGGTACACCACAAAAGCACACACATGTGTCCAGCACTAACAATTGACCAGTTAATCTGTCATCCAAGACTATTTTAAAACATTGACCTATGTGATAGCTCTCATCTCAAGAAACAACCTGCCTTTTGTCTACAGAACCTGCAGCTACCACACGCGCAGGATCTGCACAGTGGCGAAAGACTTGCAGGCAAGGCCCCAGTTTTTGTCTACACAGCAGCATCTGAAGAATAGCCGGTGAATGCTGGTGATGTTTGGCTCAACTAAAACATTTTGATTGTAGACTTGCAGGTCTGCAAACATGATTCGCACATTTACCCAAGACGCCCAACACACAATCCTGGAGGTTTATTTTAGACAGTTTAGACTGTTTAGGATCTATGCAGAAAACACAATTTTAAATATCAAGAAAAAGTCAGCCGCCATTCTAGTAGGAATTCACCATTTCTATCCATTTCCTTTTTTTTTAGTTGCTGTATTGCATTAAACACCATTCAACTCACGAGAGCGGTCTCCAATAAGGAGTTCGGATGGCGAGTTCTGTTCTTGGGCGTGCTAGTACAGTCGAAGATGATCTAATGCAAAAATTGAATTATTGTAAAGTACAGATCATATAGTATACTTAGTGTAGCCATCATATGGGGATATCTATAATATATATATATACATATCTAGATCATGTACACACAGATGAGCTAATTGTTCAACAAACGCCAAGTCTGCACCAGACTTATGCCATTCAATTTTTCAATGACTGCTCTTTTGCAGTGCATATTTTATAGTAACCAGCACTCTTCAAATCGCTGCAAGAATTTGTGTAAGCCAGGAGATGGTTTTCATGGTGTTTGGGTGACCATCACCCACTCAGAAAAGCAACTGCATGATTCGAGATCTGCAGATGAACAAAAAATCTGCAATGTTGGTTTTTTTCTATGATCCACCATTTTGTGCTTGTAGAGAGCTATGACCCACTGGCCATTTAGAGATGTATGTTGATTTTACCAATTGATAATGGCAATTTTCCAGTTTGCTAAAGTTGGATGGGTTGATAAACCAACTTACCCTCTGGTAAACATACAAAAAGCTATTGAACATGACCATAGAAATAGTGGATTTACCCATTAAACGTGGTGGATCTTTCCATAGTTACGTAAACGTTTACCAGGCCGGGTATAACTCGCCTTTTTAAGGCTGGCCACGACTCCGCTGACTCCGTTGACTCCACCAAACCATGGATTGATTGGCAAAGAAAAATGGAAAGGACTGCAGAAAAATATGGAAAACGTCTCGTTTTATTTTTATTTTTTTTGAAGACAAAACAATATACAATATTAGTGCTATATAGTGCTATATAGTGCTATAGGCTCAAAACATTGCATTAATATGCATTAATATGCATTAATATGATGGTTTTTTGGTCCTCCATCCCACAATGGGAATCCTTGTCATGGGTAAACGAATCCCTTGTAACTCTAGTAATGGATCGATGACCATCCCCTAATATGTATATACTATGAAATATACTCCACTTTTCACCATGCCACACCTGGCTTCATAATGTTTCATATGGTTTCATGTATGCTTTGTTTTTTTCCATTGAACTAAGCCATCTCCCAGCTGTGGCATCCATCCATTTTGGCGTCACGCTGGAGCACCGTCCGAAGCCTGGCGTCAGTGGATGGCGTCAGGAACTTCCACTAGAAGGGGATGGGTGAAAACCCAAAATTACCATCTGATATGGGGATATACCCTCTGGTAAACTAACATAGCTATTGAACATGGCCATTTATAGTGAGTTTTCCCATTAAAAATTGTGATTTTCCATAGTTATGTTAGTTGACCAGAGTGTAGGGGATATGGATGTGGATTCAAAACCTATGAATTTCCCATGTTGGGGGGAGATAAACCTCCGTAACTACCAGCTATGAAATGATGTGAACAGAAGGGTAGGTCGAAGTTACCCATAGCCATAAAGAAGAAATGTCCAAGCGTTTACAGTAGTCCAACACTACTAAGGGGTGGGGACATTCACATTGATCTGGGAGAACAAGTGCGTTAATTCAAGCAACAAAGAGTTCAGGATTTATACACAACGATTCAAACAGCAAAACAACTCAAACAATTTGACCATCAGAAACGAACATGTGCTTCATAATGTATCAGTTTTATGCTAAATTCATGCCTGCTGCACTTTTTTTCTGGCCGCCCTGCCACCTCCACCATCAGTCACCATCTACCCAAAAGCACAATGCAGTTGCCTTGACATTAGCTTTGTGGTCCCTGACTCCAAAATGCTGAACTCAAGTAACCGGTGTACAAACCTATCTGGGCATGTGATGAAAGAGGAAAACCCTTATTGAAGCCTACAACTGTCTGCTGTACTGCTATTGTAGAAAAACCAAGGAACGTATATGAAATTACTGCCTCAATTATTGCCCTCACTTTCCAGATTTGGCCTTTTTTGCAGCATTGACACCATCATTGGAGCAATTGAACCTAGAAGGATTGCCAAGTTGTTGTTGTTTTTCAATCCTTAGAGATTACACATGATTACACATGATTAAACATGATTACACTACGTATACTTTGTCATTCCATTGTACTGGTTGATTAGGAGCGGGATTCACAGTTAGTTCATGGATGATTGATGGTGAAGATGAATATGAAAATGAAACAGAAAATGATGATGATGGATCTACAACAGAGCAACCCACAAAAGTATAGAAGAACAAATCCTTAGTAGTGTTTTTCAAGACCCTTGCGGGGTTACAGGCTACAGTATTACTGGTAGTATATTCCCCTACGATCATCAAGCAACAAAGGTATTGAACAGCAAGATAATTGCCAATAGTGGATACTAGAACCCAATATAATCCTCAGTTTATGTCCGTTTATGGAAACAACCCCAGCGCCCGCAATATAATCCTCAGTCAATCCTCATTTATCACCTATGCCCCGCTGATGGTTAAAAAGCATTTGTTCATCATCTTTTCTGTCCCTATATCATAGGGTCTTAACCAATCAACAGTGATACTCAACAAATGGCTCAAATTGGCTGCCCAGCCCAATGTTCTACTTCGACCTCGGCGTTCTCAGCTTCAAGCCTTTCAGTGTCTGCCTTTCACGGGGCCGCATGAACCCAAAGATATCCTGCTGAGATATGCCTAAACCGCTTATTATTGTTATTACATTCGATATCAATCTGATAACCTTATAACTATAACTCGTTTGTATGGCTAGTTGCCATATTTACCCGCATATGAAATGGATATGTCCAAACTTTGACGGACGATTCCAGCAACTGGAATGAAGGTCCAGTACAAGTACCACATGTGGACGTTCAATGGTAGATAAAAAGGGCATATTGTCAACCAACCAAGGACAGTTTTGAGGGCGGCATGGCCAACGGGATATCATAAACCGACGAGTAAAGCCACAAAAACTCAAGGCACTTAAGCTAACTGACTGTTTCCACTTGTGCTAATTTGCCAAAGCTGGAACAGCTTAAAACGGCCAGCCACTTGTGGGAGATTCGTGGATTCATGGGGATTTAGGCCGGAGCATTTCATCAATTTCATCCATCAAACTTCCATCAAACTCGTTGTCCGAGGGCGCAACAGAATTCGTGAAATCTCAAGCAATCTGAGCCAACATCAGACAATTACACCATAAATCCATACATAAATCCATATATAAATCCATAAACCCACCATTTATATATAAAATGTAATTCCATAAGTCCATACCCTCCAGTAAATTAACATAGACCCTGCCAGATAGGGATTGGAAGACTAGTTTCCACTAGAAATTGGTCATTTTCAGGGTCAACAAATTAATTTACCAGAGGGTATATTGTTATATTATCCTTTTGATTTGGAAATCCATGAGTCCATAGAAAAACCATACAAAAATCCATATATAAATCCGTAAACTCACCATTTATATATCCATAAGTCCATAGAAAATCAGAAAAAAAACCCGCCATTCCGACTGAAGCTCCGGCCTTTCGCTTGGCCGCGCGCGCCTTGGCCTTCACCGGCACCTGTCGGCCGAACGAGTTTGTCCAATCACCAGTTATATGAATCTGATATAGTGATTTATTAATAGGTAATTGGTAATAGTATCCATAATTAATAGGTAATATTATCACTATATTAACCAGAGTTTATTTATTAATAGGTAATAGTATCCATAATGGTAATAGTGATAATATAATATAATATAGTTTCTTGTAATAGTGATAAAGTGATACTATATATATTAACCTGTTGATAGTGATTTATTAACCTATAATAGTGATTTATAATGTGATTAATTGATTAATACTCGTTGTAATATGAGTAATTAATAGTGATTTCCAATATTTAGTATACAGTATATCATGATATATCATGATATAGCAGCATATTTTGAACTATAGGTGTTTGTTTTCTAAGTATATAGGTGATTGTTCAAAGTATAGATGAGTTTTTCTAACTATAATAGGTGTTGTTTCTAAGTGTAGGTGATTGTTCAATTTATAGGTGATTTCTCTAACTATAAGCAATTTTTCTGGTGTTCTTTCTAAGTGAAGGTGATTTTTCAAAGTATAGGTCATTTTTCTAACTGTAGGTGTTTTTTTTTTCTGACTATAGGTGTCTGTTCTAACTATAGTGATTTTTCTAAGTAGAGTTGATTTATGGATAAATAAGGTACATGATACCTGTAAATAAATAAGGTATGTGATATATTATATTATTCTACAGGTATATGAATATAAAAACTAGAAGTATCATAAATATAATATGAATTATGTGATAACTAAGGTATATGACACCTATAGATTTGAGCACAACAAATTCAATCAATGACACCTATATTCCATGATATTGACAATTCCAGAATAGAGAAGGTATATTATTAGATATGGTGTTTTGTTTAAGTTTATCAATATATATATATACATATATAGAGATATTACCAAGGTGGTGATTTGACCTTTAGCAATATGATGTTGATAATTGATATATATATATATATAGATTGGACCACTATTGAATATATTCATGTATTGTTATGTAATAGTAATATGAAGACAGATCTTATCGATAAGTCCATCTATAAGTTATCATATCGCTTAGAACTATTGAGCATCACCATCTAGATACAGTTTGTGATATTGAATCTACTCATCTATGGTAATTCTATAGCAAATGTGTGAATCTATAGTGGATTGTTGAATCACCAGTAGAGATTCAACTATCAGTAGTGATGTTCACTATATTCATCTATGTTGACTATTGAATAGCACTATATATCTAGATACAGTTAGTGATAAAGGGCAGTCAATTTCACCATTAATATTGATATAACTACTTTCATAAACTGATAGTTCAAGATTCACTAAAGTGCCAAGATGTTACTATACAATATAATGAACTTGTGTAAATATATATATACATACACATCGCCATATTGTATCATATGGTGGTAATTAAATTGGTATATCTACAAGTAGAAACTGGGCTAATTTGGTGGTAACATCTCAAAATCCTACGACATTGGTGATAAATGATTGTTCTGACATTTTTTTGGGATCATACCTCTATATATATATATATAAGCTATACATATATATATATACACAGTCATCCCAGACTAGATAGAATATGACAACACTTTCTTTAGAACACACTAACATAGGAGTATGTTTGAAAATCCCATATTCTAGTTAATTCAGGATCATTATATCTATCTATATATATATATATATATATATGGTACCCCCCCCTGGTACCTACCTTTCCTTGATTTATACTGTAAATTACAGTATAATTTGCTTATTTTCATATGTTGAATTTGATAGGTTTTTTATATTGAGTTTCTTGAGACATGAGTTCAGACTTGAGTTCAGGCTTGACTTCAGACTTGAGTGTCATAGTCTCGATTTCTGCTACCCAAGATCCAAGATCCAAGATTTCCAGAAAGCTTTTTATATTGAGTTTCTTGAGACATGAGTTCAGACTTGAGTTCAGACTTGACTTCAGACTTGAGTGTCATAGTCTCGATTCCTGCTACCCAAGATCCAAGATCCAAGATTTCCAGAAAGCTTTTTATATTGAGTTTCTTGAGACATGAGTTCAGACTTGAGTTCAGACTTGACTTCAGACTTGAGTGTCATAGTCTCGATTCCTGCTACCCAAGATCCAAGATCCAAGATTTCCAGAAAGCTTTTCTTGGAAATCTTGGGATAAACCCAAGATCCAAGATCCAAGATTTCCAGAAAACTTTTCTTGGATGCACTTGCAGAATCTTGGATGCACCCAAGATCCAAGATCCAAGATTCCCAGAAATTTTTTCTTGGATGCAGGCTGGAAATCTTGGATGCACCCAAGATCCAAGATCCAAGATTTCTAGAAAACTTTTCTTGGATGCACTTGCAGAATCTTGGATGCACCCAAGATCTTGGATCTTGGGTTTATGCCAAGATTTCCAAGATTTCCAAGAAAAGTTTTCTGGAAATCTTGGATCTTGGATCTTGGGTGCATCCAAGATTTCCAGCCTGCATCCAAGAAAAATTTTCTGGGAATCTTGGATCTTGGATCTTCGGTGCATCCAAGATTTCCAGCCTGCATCCAAGAAAAATTTTCTGGGAATCTTGGATCTTGGATCTTGGGTGCATCCAAGATTCTGCAAGTGCATCCAAGAAAAGTTTTCTGGAAATCTTGGATCTTGGATCTTCGGTGGCAGGCTTTGAGGCTTGAGTTCAGACTTAAGTTCAGACTTGAGATCAGTGTACACAGGCGCACTTGTACAGTGGTATCTGGGGTAGATTACCGAGTGCGAGCGTGCGATGGCCAAAAAAAGGATGCTTCTTCTCTTCGCTATATCGTGGGAGCTACTGCGGTTGCAGGGGTCTTCGTCGAACCGTAGGCAAGTGCCACTCTTTACCTCAATATAATGTTATGCCGCAATGCCTCAACAGCTTCATCCTTTTGAATCCACCCTTCCTAAAGTGTCAAGCACGTGAACCACGTGGTTCGTGCAAAATACTGGCTGTAGTTTGCCCAAGTGAGAACTTGTAACGCAGCACTTTGTGCAAAGCCTTCATAGCTTCATCCTTTTGAACCCACCCTCCCTCAAGCATGTAACCGTGATTCGTGCAAAGTACTTGCTGTAGTTTGCCCGAGTGAGAAATTATAACGCAGCACTTTGTGCAAAGCCTTCATAGCTTCATCCTTTTGAACCCACCCTCCCTCAAGCACGTGATCCACGTGGTTCGTGCAAAGTACTTGCTGTAGTTTGCCCAAGTGAGAACTTGTAACGCAGCACTTTGTGCAAAGCCTTCATAGCTTCATCCTTTTGAACCCACGCTCCCTCAAGCATGTAACCCACATGGTTCTTGCAAATGACTTGCTGCCAGCACAGATGTAGTTACGAAGAAAGGAAGGAATTAACAGTAAAAAGTAGGTATCAGGGGGGGGGGGTAGCATATATATATATATATATACAGTAGAGGTAACAATCACCAACAAATATTGATTATATAGTAATTTTATCATTGTTTTCGTAGGAGGTGACATCTCTATCTTTCTCGGGGCTGCTGTACATATACATATATATATCTATATGTATACACCAAACCTGTCTTGCTACAACAGCATATGAGATTTGATGGTATCGATTAATAACACTAGATTGAATGATTTTGGTGATTAACTAAGCACAAACTCAAAAAATGTGATAAACCCCTTTTGTTCATGGAGAATCGACAAAGCAATAGACACATCAAACAACACCGCATTAAAGTGGTCAGACGGTCAGACTGCGGGTGTGATCAGGAACAAAATGACATATAATGCCGTTCAACTTTCACTGCTGATGAAATATATTCTCCTATGATCAGCACATACTGATAATCCCAGCTAGTACTCCTTTGTGATTTGCTCACCAGCAGAGATGCCACATTATTGATTGTGGATAAATACTTATCTGCATGGTTGGTGGTTTCAACCCCCTCTGCAAAATATTAGTTGGGAGTCGGGAGTATTGGCTTTTTCTTCCCAATACCCATAGGATCCATGTATGCTATATATGGTAACATTTACCATCAATATACCCCCAATGTTAGCATATATACCATACATGGATCCTATGGGATATATGGAAAAAAAAGTTCCAAACCACCAACCAGTTACACACCCATTCTGGCTAGCCGTCTTTTCGAGTGGTTTCGATCCTTGGCAACGAAACTGATGTCTCTCGGAAACTGATGCATGGACAACAAAGTCCTGTGTGAAGCTTGACCGAATCATTATATATATATATGTATCTATCTATCTAATTACATATCATCATATATACATTATGTGTATATATATATATATGTAAATAACAATATATACACATATATATATATAGTATATATATATATATGTGTATATATATATATATGGTGTTGTCACAGGTCTGATAAGTTAACCCTAAACCATGACCAGTGGGGGGTCCCATTTTCGACAGCGTACTGGCGGTGGGCCCATAGTCGCCATGGTCGCGGCAGTCGCCGCGGTTGCCGCGGTAAGCGCTGTGGCCTGTGCCCATGGTGCCATGAGTAGATACCAAGGCCATAAACATACTGGCGGCGGTGCCCCCAGTTATAGCCTCTGGTAAATTAACATAGCGAACTGGAAAGATCCACCATTTTTTTCATAGGTAAATTTCAACTTTTCTCAATGGCCATTTCCAATAGCTACGTTAAATTACCAGAGGGTAAATAGGGGGTTATAATCCCATGAAAACTATAGATATATCACCAACACAAACCACAATGAAATTGGACTTATTTGCACCAACTTAGCTAACGAACTGGGGCACCACCCTGTACCATTTGGGGATGGTTTATATATACCACCCATGGGAATATACGAATAAATACGACTAATATATGGGACAATGTATGAGATAATACAGTGGATGCTGGCAAGAATCGTATAACATAACATAATAATTTAACCACATAATGTCTAATATATGTCTAACCGCTCAAAAGTGTAGAATCCAAACCCAAGCATCCCAAGCCCAATTGCAAACATGGCAACTCAGAAAATCATCAAACCCCCTGCTCTGGAAGTTGTTTTGGACGCCTCCACTGGGGCCTCCGCTGCAGCCGCCGCCGCCTTGGCTGCGGCCTTGGCCGCGGCCTTGGCCTCGGCCTTCGCCGCCTTGGCAGCGCGCGCCTTGGCACGAGCCTCCGCCTTGGCCTTCGCCTGCAAGGGATGGGATTTATTTACCTTTTTGATCACCAATGAATGATTAAACCATTTAGTACCTGATCATAAAATGCATATATTAAACTGGTTGGTGGTTTTAACAATCTTGAAACATATTAGTCAATGGGAATGATTATCCCATACATTATGGAAAAATGTTTGAAACCACCAACCAGTAACATAATGTAACATAAATGTACCATATATTATGTACTAATAGATGATGTGGATTTGCAATTGTACAATATGATTATGAGAAGCCACATATGCATCATACCAACATTGTTTGAAACATATGCATTGACTAACGGATAATATGGTTGTAGCATGGGTCAATATCGATGAAGACAATGATATTCTAAGATAAATTACGTCTTCGACAGAGACATCTACTTGTTTGGATTCTGGATGCTTTAAACAATCATGATTCCATCCCAATCAAACTAAAACAACCCCCATTCTATGGTCCAAAATATGTGTCATGTGGGTAAAACAATGCCATAAACCACCCCCAAATCATCATTTTTATAGGTGGTATGGTTACCATTCAAAGTCATGGATGGTAAGTTTATGGCATTGCTTTCTCCCACATGTTGCATAACTAGAACATCAATGGTTTATATCGATAGATATAGGGTTTTTGTGGGTTGTCATGTGGGGTTATCTATGGATTTTCTATGGATTTTCTATGGTCGAAATGTGTGAAAACTCAACGGCTCGCCTTTGCTGCAGCTGCCGCCTTTTTGGCTTCAGCCGCAGCCTGGCAGAGCCAGAGACGTGGCCGAAAGCAGACGTGGCCCGGCCCGTTGCGTTGTTTTTTTTCATTAAAATGATCAACCAATTACATAACTAAACTAATCAACCAAACCATATTTGAAACCACGTGATATATCAATGAAAATATCATACGTCACATCAAAATCATATCCCATAAGATCCCATTTGTTGAAATGCACCTGTTGATATTATTGGGGTATGCATTTGTTATAGAAGCGGACAAAATGATTTTGAAAAAACAATGCTTGGTGTTTTTCAAGTACTGAAAAACAAATGATGGTATCTATACTACAAAAACAACATTGCTTTCAGGGTTTGACCACTTCAACTCGCTTCACGTGGCATGTCACCTCCAACAATCCTCAATTGGGAAATTGGACGTCATTGGGATGTAAAAAAACATCCCCATAAATTTTGATATTATTTGTAGCTGTCAGATTGAACTCCATGTATTAGACATCTATCTATATAGTGATCCCAAAGATAGGATCACGCTGGATCACGTGTGTTTCCTTCGCTGATTTTTGCCTCATAGTCTAATTTCCAGGTTTTCGAAATTTGTCTATTGTTTTTGGAACTCATGTGGTAGACCCATGATAAAGCACCCTCTTCCAGATAGTCTACACCTATTTGTTGGTTTTTCCACATTTTCATTAAAAAAAAAAAACCTTTGATCGGATTAGACTCGCAACGAACAGCTACTGTTTTTTTGGTTTGATGGACCCCACATTCCCTTCCCATACTATTGGGGATTCTTGTAGTACTATGAGAGTAATAAGGGAAAATTCCATCTTTGAGGTTTCCTATATAAATAAATCCCAACAAGTTTGGATATATCTATATTATGTATATATATATATATACATAATATGATATATATATATATATATCCCACTATAGTTAATCATAGTTGATCATAATACACCCCGTTAATATCCACTTGTTCACAGGTGTTCTGCAGAACCCATGTGAACCCAGCCTTGCTCTTGGCCTTCGCTGCCGCCTTTGCAGCAACTTTCTTCTCCTCCACCTGGCAGGTTTCCTACTGGACTGCGGATAAGGGGAAAAAAAAGGGTCAAAACAATGATTGGAAATGTTCACACATATTCACTCGATAGTCACATAGTCAAAAAACTATAAGTTTTTGATATGTGTTATGATACACCAAAAATCACCCTGCAATTCACCCAAAAATACATCCGATGGTTCCAATGGGTGCCTCTCTTTGTGCCGCTGTGTCCGCCGCGGCTTTGGCAGCGGCCTTTGAAAAAACGCCACCGTGGATGGCGATTTTTCGGCCAACGGGCTCAAGGGACCAGTTCAAAAACCCTGAAGTGACAAAGAAATATCAATATCTTGTGGTACCAGGGTACCAGTCAGTATTTTGAGATGCTATGTTGTTGTAGTTTGAAGTATTTCACCCATGCAACTTCGTATTTCCACATAAAATTTCTGTTTGAAACCATGGACTCATGGACCTATGCATCAGCGCCCCAAACCCGGAAAAGTCGGCCTTCTCCCTTGCCACTTCCAGCAGAGAATGGGCTTCCTAAGTGCGATGGAAATCTACATGTTTAGGCTTGCGGAATTTGGGAACTCATGGCAACGTACTATATATATATGTATATATGTATATGTATGTATATATGTATATATGTATATATGTATATATGTATATATGTATATATGTATATCTGTATATATGTATATATGTATATATGAATATATGTATATATGTATATATGTATATATGTATATATGTATATATGTATATATGTATATATGTAAATATGTATATATGTATATATGTATATATGTATATATGTATATATGTATATATGTAAGTGGTTATATATGCAAAAATGGCAATTACTACTATATTATGTATATAATTATATATATATATAATTAATTACTGTGTATAAATATAAATATATATATATATATAGGAAGGTGATTAATCAAAATTGAAGAGCACCATGCTGCACTTTAGCTAAAAACCAGCCCCACACAGTTGAGGAATAGACAAAGACAAAAAAGCAAGTAACGGAGGCTTCCGGCAACTATGCATTAAAAGCTTCAAAAGGTAAAGAAGAACAACTCAAAAGGTTGGACGCCCTGCCTCGCACGGGGCTGCCTTTTTGCATTTCACACAGGAACCAATGAGCCACACATCCGTGTCCAAGCCTAACGGTCTCCAGCCAATGGGGGTGGCGGCGGTGGTCCTGCCCAATGTGATCCAGCTGCTTGACAAGTCACTTGTAGAATCATGTAGATGTAGAGATGCATAGCAAGTTGATACAAGCTGATACTCACAAAACATCCCTGGAAATGATTCTTGATGCTGATGCAAACATCATGACATCAATGCCAAACTTTCGGTTTTCAAGCATCCACATGATTCGACAGTCTCGACGCCTGTGGGGAAATGCAGGGCCTTTCCTGCGCTCCATGTATGGGAAAGTATGGGTAAAACCATCCTATGGGAACCTCTGGTATTTTGGGGCTATGGAAGAATCAGCATTAAAACAAAAAGTACATGTCGGTACATTGGTACCCCAATTTCGATACATGCCCGCATGTGAGCTGGTCCAAGTCCAGGTGTGCTGGTACAAGGGTCAAAGGCATAAAACAACCACTGTCAAACACCATGGGCCTGACAATCAAGGCTTGTTTCCGTGTCTTCCGGCTTTGCAAAAAGGCAGCCAGTTCGAACAAACACCACAATCCTTGGATTTGCTGAAGGTGCCATGCAAAAAATATCTGACCTCACCGATGATAAAAAAAACAGTCCAAAAACCACTGGCACTTCTGGATGATCGTAACAAATTAGTGGTAAAACAAACTGGCTTTCTGCTGTCAGAAGTTAAGACATCATTATTCAAGTGTAAAGCTTCTATAACTTACCTTAAACAAATCCAATTGGATAACCCATCACTTGCGGCAGTAAGATTCAATCACTTGCGACAGTAAGATAAGAATCACCTGCGGCCTGCGGCAGTGAAACCTGATTCAAAAAAATCACCTGCGGCAGTAAAATTCTTGAAAACCAATCGCTTGCGGCAGTGAAACAATACTTGGGGGGGTGGGGGTGGGGCTAGGGAAGAAAAGGGTAGGATCTACCAGCCACAACCGTTGCCTAACTTCATTATAGGGACACAACCGCTACTCCACTTCATGAGACTTGCCATCCCACTTCAACCTTGGGGGGTGGGGTGGGGCTAGGGAAGAAAAGGGTAGGATCTACCAGCCACAACCGATGCTTAACTTCATTATGGGGACACAACCGCTACTCCACTTCCTGAAACTTACCATCCCACTTCAACCTTGGGGGGTGGGGTGGGGCTAGGGAAGAAAAGGGTAGGATCTACCAGCCACAACCCTTGCTTAACTTCATTACAGGGACACAACCGCTACTCCACTTCCTGAGACTTACCATGCCACTTCAACCTTGGGGGGTGTGGTGCGGCTAGGGAAGAAAAGGGTAGGATCTACCAGCCACAACCGTTGCTTCCCTTCACTGTAGGGACACAGCCGCTACTCCACTCTTGAAACTTGCCATCCCACTTCAACCTTGGGGGGTGGGGTGGGGCTAGGGAAGAAAAGGCCAGGATCTGCCAGCCACACATGCATCATCCGAATCTAAGCCACAGTACGTGCAAGAGCAGCAGCACAGCCCACGGCACGACAGAATTCATATTTGCAACAACAGCCGCAAAGTCGCGTGAAAAGCATCAAAGCTTGCACGTGCACAATGTCGCTTCCTTCCTCATAGAACCTGCCCTGCGTCGGAGAATGCAGCAGTCGCAGCAGCTTACTGCCACAAGTGATTGGTTTTTTATACCCTGGCATCAAGGACACCCACTTACTGCCACAAGCGATAATTTCTTTTTCCGCCGCAAGCGATTAAAAACAGAAACGCGTGAGTGCCGCCACAAGCAATTAGGCCTTGAAATGCTGCACCTGCCAGCCTGCCACGCAAAACCGAGCATCACATGCGGCAGTTAAAAAAATCACTTGCGGCAGTAAAAAATTAGCGGTTTTTACTGCCACAAGCGATTGGCGCATCTTACCACCACAAGCGAGGTAGGAGCCAAAACCCCAATTGCCAGGTGTATTTCCACTACGGTTGGCTTTATGGATCTTAACCTCCCCCAAATGTCGTCCCATAGGTGTTGACCCAACTTTATAGCCCAGCGTGATATGCCGTAAACCCGCCATCACGTTTTTGTGTACCACTAAAATTGTATTTGAGATAGTTTTTGTGTGACTGAACAACATCACATTATCTTTGGTTGATACCACAATTTTGATTGATAATGTTTCCCAGTTGTCCAATGAACTTGGTCAACACAGTCTTAGTAGATCCAATTTTCTGTACACCGTGATGATTGTCATACCATCCCCAAACTGACAGCTAGTTGGGGAAAGTAGTCTTCCACGTCCCAACTCATGGCAGGGTTATAATGTTCGTGAGGGGATGGTAATTGTTTTTGTTGATCAAGAACCCTTCTTTGGGTTTGCCTGAAAATACAATAAAAATCAGGTACCCCATTCCATCATGTTCGATATTAAGATTGCCGGAGATATAACGATAGCACACTTTCATGAGTCTGAGGTGCCCAGCCAATCGGGAGCGGGAGCGGTGGTCCTGCCCAATGTGATCCAGCTGCTTGACAAGTCACTTGTAGAATCATGTAATGTAGATATGCATAGCAAGTTGATACCAGCTGATACTCACAAAACATCCCTGGAAATGATTCTTGATGCTGATGCAAACATCATGACATCAATGCCAAACTTTCGGTTCATCAAGCATCCACATGATTCGACAGTCTCGACGCCTGCGGGGAAATGCAGGGCCTTTCCTGCGCTCCATGTATGGGAATGTATGGGTGAAACCAACCTACGGGAATCCTCTGGTATTTTGTGGCTATGGAAGAATCACCATTAAAACAAATTAAAGGACCGGATAACCCCACAAGTCAACTTCTCCCAATAATCAGAAACAAAAGTTGTAGCGGGACGGGGAAGGAAAGAAAGACAAAGGAGGTGGTGGAGGATCGAGAAGTTAAAAAAAGTTGTATGTGAAGAGTTGTGTGCGATAAAGTTGTGTGTGACGTTATTATGTGTGTGAAAGATTGTGTACAGTGACGCATAACTAAATGATGCAAGTGCTTCCACCGGTCAACTGGGTGACAGACGACCATAGGTCGCTCGGCATGGCCCAGGAGCGCACACACACATGCATAGCGACCAAAATTAAACGATGCAAGTGCTTCTTTCCACGTTTGGTCAAAGCTATGCGACTACTGCAGCAAGATCGGAGAGCATCATATGACACATCAAACTAACAACCAGATGCACACAGTCGAATAGATGCACTGCCCATCAGTGAAAACCCTGCTTTAGCTCATCCCCTTAACTGCAGGGGTGGGGTATAGTGGCCCGCCTGTCCGCCTAGTGTTGCACCACCCGGGTATTGAACCCCCATGAGGGATGCGTCTTATCAACTAGACCAGCGGCACCCAAGCGGTGCCCAAGCGCGCCACCGGAGCCAGCCCAGTGCCGTAAGTGCCACGCCTGCCACGCAAAACGAAGGTGGATGTCGTGAAGTGCCACGCCTGCCACGCAAAACGAAGGTGCACCGCACGACCAAAGAGCCAGCCCAGTGCCATAAGTGCCACGCCTGCCACGCGAAACGAAGGTCGATGTCGCCAAGTGCCACGCAAAACGAAGGTGAAGGTCCCCAAGTGCCATGCCTGCGTGTGAGATGGTGTGTGACAAAGTTGTGCGTTGTGACAAAGTTGCGTGAAAGACGGTGGTGTGGGACAGGGCGCGAAGGCGGCGGCGGGACGGAGGCGGGACGGGATACAGAATCAAAAACAAGAACCCCACACACAGATGTGGGGAAACAAATGGACAATTACTACTAAATTATGTGTATATATATATATATATATATATGATGTCATAATATATATTATATATATATATATATATGATGTCATAATATATATATATATATATTACTATATAGATCATATAGATATAGATATCATTAAATGAAACATAATAGAATAGAATATAATATTAATATCACATAATATATAATATATAATATATAATATATAATAATAAAGAATATATGATATAAAATATAAAATATATAATATATAATATATAATATGTAATATAATATATAGTAACTATAAAATATATATTATATAATAAGATATAACATACAATATATAATATATAATATATAACATTTAATATGTAATATAATATAATATATATATATAATATAACATATACGAAATATAATATAGAATATATAAAATATAATATATATAAAATAAAATATAGAATATCTAATATATATATATACAATAGAATATATACAATATACAAAATACATAATATAATATAATATAATAAAATATAATATAATATTTAAAAAATAACATATAATATAATATAATATAATATAATATTAAAAAAACATATAATATAATATAATATAATATAACATAATATAATATAATGTAATATAATATAATATAATAACATATAATATAATAAAATAAAATATAATATAATATAATATAATAACATATAATAACATATAATATAATATAATATAATAGAATAGAATATAATATAATATAATATAATATAAATATGATATAATCTGTGTATATATGTGTATATATAGACATATAATGACATATATATATATATATTTATAATTTTATATATATGTATATATATATATATATATTCATGATGAATGATGATAGAATATGCCAACAGAAATCCTCCCAAATGGAACATTTGAAATCACTCACCTGGTGAGATTGTCAGAAGGCTCTGCCCATCTTCCCAACAAATTCATCGGATCAGTATGGATTTAGTGCTTTGTGAAGGACAGCAAATCTTTGAGCAAGGGGCAACTATTTCCCAGTCGATTCTCCAAAAATGTGTGTACTTTGATGGGTCATGGGGAAGGCCTGAACGGTTTATCCAAGCCACCTCAAACAACTCATTTTGCACATTTAGTGGAATACCAACCATTTCTCTAGTCGGGCCCATCAAAATCCGCTTAGTGCAATACCAACCATTTCTCTAGTCGCAGGGCCCGTCAAAATCCGCTTATGAATTCATATCTGTGATAAAGAAATGCAGTGTCAAAACTCTGGGCCAACATTTTTTCTGCTTTAAAAAAAACTGCCTTGGTACCAACAGTCCACCAGAATCCAGCGATCATATTTGTCCCACGTCCACGGTTCACCGTGACAAATGATGGGATTTTTTTCTGTCATCCCACTGTAGTCATGGGATTCTGGGATTCCCATCCAACGCTGTCGGGGCCTGGATTGCTGAGCTGAGTCCTTTCGGAATCAGCCATAATCCATACCCTCTGGTTATGTTTAACGTAGCTATTGAACATGGCCATAGAAATAGTGAGTTTTCCCATTAAAAATGGTGATTTTCCATAGTTATGTTAGTTTACCAGAGGGTAATCACCAATGAAACCAGTGAGTAACTGGGCAAATCGAACATCCCAAAAAAAAACAGCACCAGGTCCGTCCCCATGAAAAATCCTTCCGTGTGGGTTTAAAGCCCTCTGAAAGCATTTATATTATACCCTCCTGTACCCAGACGTGACACTTGAACATCCACCATTTATAGATGATTTTCCCAGCGAACTAACCTCCATTTACTTCGAGGATTTCCCAGCCAGCCACGTTTGAAATCCGATGAAATCACCCACCACTGCAGCACTCGGTCGAGCTGCAATCATCGGTCGACCGCCTGCGCGTCTTTTCACCTGAGACGTGGGCAGAACATGGGCAAAACACCGGGCAAACCGTCAGGATTTTTTAAGGATCCCACTATGCAATATGAGGCCACCCTTAGTGATGTGAATGTTGGTTAACAAAAGCCCCAGGAATACTATAGTTATAAGTACCATAAACCATAGTTATTGGAGTTATAAACCAACTTAGCTATCTTGGGGGCCTCACATTGTGGGAACCCCTGTAAACCAGCCAGTGAAATTTGAAATTGGATGATACCAACAAGGGCAATGTCGAATTGGGAGATTACATCATTTTACCACTCGTAGACAGTGACTAGAGCAGGTGAAGTTTGCGAAAAAATGGGGATATCAACCACATTGTTTATTCATATCAATAGCTGGGTAAATATATGTGATATTTACTAAAAGCTATAGTGATAATTGGTCAAGGGATTTGACAACATATTACCCGTAAATGTGATATTACCGACATGGTTTCAATCTTTCGCTGGTGGCTCAACCCTTCAGAAGTTACGTCAAGAAGTGGAGCCCAAAGAATCTCATGGCTGAAAGGGTGGACATGTTTGCGCCACAAGCATCATCTTCCTTCCCCAAAACATGGAATGAGAACATGACTCCATGACTCTAATGGAGGTTCATTGAAACCAACCATGGACAATAATGGTGATTTTTCTGGCATTTTTTTTCTGGGATTTGCCCTCAGGCAATCAAACATTGCAATGGAAAATCCCTGATTTGTAGATGATTTCCCCAGCTATAAACCATCACTCATAGGCCCAGCCACATTTGACTAGCGGAGGCAAAGTGGAATTATATATGGGATTTTGTCTGATGTAATGAGCATATCATGGGGACAGAACTGACTCAATCATTGCCTAAAAAGCCTATAAAATCCTACATGGTGAAGTTCATTTCCAGGTGGTACCATGGTTGTCATACCAAAGTAGATGGTATAGCACGGTGAAGGAGATCTTCAATAACCCAAATAAAGAATGATAACTACGGTATATAATTATCATGGTTTTTGACCTATCCCCATACATCATGCCATGTATCCTTGAAACCATGGAAGGTCTTGCCTTGTGATGGTGTTTGATTCCTCGTTGTTGTTGGAAAAACATGTCTTCTATGTTTTCTGCTTTTCCCAACGCCTTGATTCTCATATATTCTCATGTTTGGTACGAAATGTCCAATTTATTGATGGTTAAATAATAATAAGAATCATAACCCATCATCTGGTGAGTAAGCTCAAGTCACCGTCCTGAAATAAGATGATACCTACGGTAACTTTTCACTTATACATGATATAACCCATCATTTACTGGGCACCCATCTGGATGTTTTTCAGTGTTCGAAACATCAAAATTGAAAAGTATCACAGTTCGTTTCACGCTGAATTGAACCCCAAAAATGTTAAACTCAACTGTGATACAACCAGAACGTGTTTCCGTTTCTTGACCAAAAAAAACATGTGATGTACATGTGATAACTATGTGGCGAGTCAAAACCCTGGGCCATGTCTACCTGTTTTTTTGTACCTTAGCCGGTTGCTGGATGTGGAATCTCCCCCAAAAAAAAATGGGCCTTTGGGGCCAGCGGTTCATCGGGAATCTCCACCACTTCCACCACATCGGGCGCTGGTGACCTTGGACGACTGGACGCCGGCCATGGCGGCCATAGTTAGTTTTAATGGAAAACATATGGAATAATATGGAATAATAGTTTATAATAGTTTTATTAGTTTTAATTAGTTTTGATATCATCTATAAGTCTATAAGTGGTTGGTGGTTGACCTAGCCCTCTGAAAAATATGAGTTCGTCAGTTGGGAATAATATGGAATACTAGTTTATATATATATATATATATACCCTCTGGTAATGACTGCCGAACAGTTAGCGACATTGAAGCCATGGCCCAGTCAGTCGAAATAGTTGATTTACCCAGCTATAAAATGGTGGATCTTTTCAGTTCGCTATGTAAACGTTTACCAGAGGGTAGTTTTAATGACTTTTCTATTAAAACAAATGGTGATGTTCCAGTTCGCCACGTTCAATAACCAGACGGCGATACGTTCCTTCTTGCTTCTTGGATTGGGAAAGTGGTGCAGGAGTTTTCTAGAATTAGTATCATTTCATCTGGGTAAATTATTATATTTCACTAACCTGAATTAAGGCCATTTGGGGATGATTTCCCTTACTAACCATGATTCCAGTGAGGTCGCAGTGAGGTCGTTATAATTTACTCAGATTTCATCTCTGGTTGCGAGAACTTCTCATACAGGAAACCGATTTCAGGTTGTTTTTTTCAGCTTCGAAATAGGCATAATTAGTTCTCTGAGCTGCAAAGGATGGTTCTCCACTGACACGAATGGTACACTTTCAAGGGCATGCAACCAAGATTTTCGGGGAATGCTTGGATGGATACATGATTACATGCTGGTAAAGGTATATATATAATATATAATTAGAAACCTTGGAACTCCATATATAATTTTGCCAAATTCCAGTCCGAAAACCATCATCCAAGAACATCTGTTTGCCCAAGAAGTGAGACTTCAAGAGTTTTGAATTTCTCATTCTGGTACCCATCTGCTGTTCTTCTTCCCAGCTACTTGTTGCGAAAAATACTCTGGATTCTTTTTCGATCTCGTGTCCGTTTTGTTCCTGCCAGAATTCTGCAGGATCCATGTTTAGGCTTGGGTAAATCATCTAATTTTCAGTAGGTTTAAACTCTGTGCACAAAATCATGAATAGCAAATCTGTTTACATATGGTGGTTGACTAAAATATGGGTACCCCCAAATCATCCATTTATAAATGGATGTTCCATTATAAACCATCCATTTCGGGGTACCCCCCATTTATGGAACCCCCCATAATGTCTACGATATTTCATAATTTCGAAGGTGCACATACCCTGCTCCAAACACCATCCAAGAGAAAATTTGGGTTTGTCTGGAAATACCCCCAAATCACATGCTGCATCATCAATCTTCCCATTTGAATCATTTATTTTGCATCACTTTGATTTTAAACATCAATCAATTCAGAGTGAATCATCAATTTTCCTCCAACATTCTATGGGTTACCCTCTGGTAAACTAACATAACTAACATAGCCATGGAAAATCACCATTTTTAATGGGTAAATCCAGTGTAAATGGCCATTTTCAATAGCTATGTTAGTTTACCAGAGGGTAATCAACAATTGTCCATCATTTTTGCATGAAAACCCCTGAGCTCCCCAGCGCCGGCTTCGTTGGTGCAGGCTGCGCAGCAGCCGGCGCCGGCTTCGCAGGTCGCGCAGCGGAGGCCTGGCTCATTCCCTACAAATCCTGGAAGATCATCATCATTCGGAAAAAGCCTTTCTTGTTGGTGGTTGACCATGGTGTTTTAATGGTGGTTAATGGTGGTTAATGATGGTGAATGATGATTAATTATCTGGTTGGTGGTTTCTAGTTGACCTACCCCTCTGAAAAATATGATGGAGTGAAAGTCAGTTGGGATGATTAATTATTCCCAATATGATGGCAAAACTAAAAAATGTTCTAAACTCTAAACCACCAACCAGCTGAAGGTGAAATCCCCACCATATCACTAAGTCACTAGGGCTTTGGAACCATTGCCATCCGCCGGCCTTGGCCGTCACCGCCTTGCTCTTGGCCGCCGCCACGGGTGGTGCAGCTTCGTCAACCTTGACTTTGGCCTTCGCCTGGTGCTTGACTTGATTTCACCAGGAAAAAGTGGCGAGTTATGGATTTTGGAAGTTGATCGATAGTTGATTTCTGGTAGGCCACTTGGTTTTATAATTACAGTATATATATAATTATAGTCCGACCAAAAATGGTGACTTGTATCTCAGAAAAATGGTCTTGCATCCCCAAAGTGGCAAGTCTTTTTTGGGAAATTCATGAAACACATATGCAAACAAACTATAAACCATAGGATTCTGGGGGTACCATCCATGCCATGGGGTGCCCTATTTTCATATGTTTTCAGACAAAATCCATCAAGAATCATCAGAATTGCTGGGATTATCATCAAAACACAGATTCAACTAGGACAATTGGGATACTAACCCTATAAAACATGGTTCTGAATGGGGATTTCATTGGCAAAATCATGTGGGCATTACAAAGCCAACCATGACCAAAAGTAATGACATGGCAATGTTTCAATAGGAGAATCATGGAGAATCTTCCAATGGTGCCTTAGTCCAATATTCATGTGAGCCCCAGAAAAATCTCAAGTCACAGAATTCTTCATCAACCAATCTAGGCCGTCCCCCGGCGCCAGGACGGTTTTCTGCACAAAACTCAAGTTACGGAGAAAAAACCGGAGTTTGCGGCGAAATAATGGGGATGTTTTTGCTGGGCTTTATAGGTGGTAGATACTTAAGTAAATGCCACAGAGAATGGGATTAATTAAGTGGACATGACTCCCAGGGAACCTCTGGTTACAAAACACCAAGAAGCCCTGATTGAGTGATGGCTATAAAGACGGGATCCCCCAAACAAACAGCCTATCTATAGGGGATCTATGAACAATTAATCTAGGGTTGGCCAAGACTGGACTCATAAAATTCAATCACGAATCTGTCAACAGCTTTGCCTGAAAATGGGTAACTACAAATTCCAATGGACAATTGTGTTTGTCCATATATATAAACGCATTTTTCGGGGGTATATGACCATTCTTGAGTCTTTCTATAATATTCTATAATATATAGTATCTAACATATCGACCATGTCTCCATGTTTGTTCGTTACAATACTATAGAATCGAAGATTTCCCCAGTATGATCTTCTAATATATCAACCATGGGCACATGTCTGTATTCAACTATTCTGGGAGAACCATGTTAGAATCTCTTGCAATAATGGCCTTTTACCTGTTGTTAAAGGGGTAAACAAACCTCTCTATTAATCAATCAACCAATGGGAAAAGGACATCTATAATCTCTTGTTTCTATGGTCAAATTCAGAAAAATCCATCCGCATTTCCAATGGTGATTCCCATGGAAGAGGCCTGAGCCTTCCATGGCAAGAGGCCCGAAATCCTGCGCGTAGACTGCGCGTAACTGATCCCTGTCAGACTCCAGCATATGCAAAATTTATAAAATTGACCAGGAACAAAATTGGGACATTTGTGAAGATTTCACATGATTTAACATGATTTATATAATCACTCAACTCTTGAGATTTTGACCAAACTGAGGTATTTTTCCTTGATGTTAGCGACTGAACCGACTGGTAATGCATTCCCAATTGAACTTCATCGTGCCAATAACCACCTGGTTTCTTCTTGACCCTTCTGCATCTTCTACAAGTTGCACGGATGGTTCAATGCCCTCTGGTATTGTAATGTTCATATAGCTATGGTATAGATGACCCATTAGTTGGAGATGAATTCCCCAAGTCAAAGATATTCAAACCTGTGTAAACACCCGGTGAACTGTGGCCTCAAAACATCCCAGGCACAACGAGTTTCCCAGAAACACATGGTACTCAGCAATTTGGCCACGTCATCTACCTCGTACTAATATTCTCCCTGATTGGTGTTGAATAATTCCAAGTTTAACATTCCCACCTGGCAAATCATAAAAGTGACAGGTGGGGAAGCTTCCCCACGTCTCTTCCAACAGTCACAGTAGGTTGTAGGTTCCCTTTCACTACCTATTCAATTCCAGACCCCCCCATATATACGTACGTATATGTATCTTATATTATACGTACATATGTTACATATGTGCTATACGGTATATGGTGTACGTGTATACTGTAGAGAGAGAGAGAGAGACAGAGAGACAGAGAGAGAGACATATTATTTAAGTGACAAACACGTTTTAAAAAAAGTTTCCCCTACCATTTGCTCCGTTCAAACCAGTCGTCGTTTTATCAACTTGCCCAGTCTCCTCATTTTCGACAATGACAGTGCTTCAGCCGCCAGTCTGGCAATGATTTTGGCTCATGAGGATAACCGTCAACACACCGACAGTATCATCGAGTATCATCGAGTATCCCAAACCTTAAGAATCGCAGAAACCCTTCAAAAATGGGGGGAGTACCCAGTGCCAGAATGTGCCAGAGACCATTTCCCCATAGTTTTCGCCCATCCGGTTGATTCATGCTGATTCGTGCCTCTCGTTTTCGGGATCCAAGAAACCAAAGAACCACATCCTTAGCATTGTGGATTTCACCCATTTCACCTGTGATTCCCATGATGTTAAGGCCAAGAATCAGCAGATTATGACAGATTATGATCTCCAGGATATGGATATGTATAGGCCACGGTCAATACCCTCTGGTAAACTAACATAACTATTGAAAATGGCCATTTATAGCTGATTTACCCATCAAAAACGGTGATTTTCAATAGCTATGTTAGATTACCAGAGGGTATTTAGTATACAGTTCCAAGTCATCAATTTTTGAAGAGTGTATTATCGTTTTTCAAGTTTTGGGAATATAGCAAATGTTATAAATGTGTTTTTTGAACAGTGTATTATTCTCGAATACTACTTTCCATTACGGTAAATTTTGGCTGTCTCATATTGGACAAATGGTGAAACATGGTGAAACCCTCTATATAACCTTTTTTTTATATGGATGGATATGGACAAATGGTGAAACCCTGTACTCTAACTGTTTTTTTTGCGGACAAATTGCTGTCGAAACGTTGAAACTTCATGAAACTTCCAGGAATGGTTGGCCGATGAATCTTTCAAGAGGATCATTGTTGAATGATCCCAGAATTGAAGTCGATTAGTCTAGCTTGGGATGGAACGAAAGGGATTCAACGAGGATCTGATCAAACTTGGATAATTCGCAATAAATATGCATGAAGTTCAACCAGAGGCTTGTGGTTCCATGGAGCAAAAAAAAAACAGCCGTCGGTGCCACCGCGAATCCCATATCAAAACAAGGGACCAAACGATATGCAGTCATCGACACTGGTTGGTGGTTGACCTACCCCTCTGAAAAATATGAGTTCGTCAGTTGGGATGATGACATTCCCTAATATATGGAAAGTCATAAAAGATGTTCCAAACCACCAACCAGGACCACCAATTTTCAGATGAAATTACAGGAATGATGGTGAATCATACTTCAGCCCCACTGAATTCCCGCCTCAAATGGCCGGTCTGGCTGCTCCGTCAATCGAACCATTGTTGAAGCATCATGAACACCATCTCCACTAACAAACAAGCGATCCCAAAAACAGAATATCATACATCGGTTGTTTGACCAACATAATCTTATGAATATCAACTGATATGAACCAAACCTCTAAAAATACTTAACAGATAAGTAGCATGATGTCAGAATAACAGGTAATTACAGCCAGGACCGAGGTGACAGGCGCATACGTCAACCAGCCATGATTCTTCCATTGTAGGCTCGTCAAATCAATCTCCTGCGAGATTGACATTGGATGTTTCTGAAGACACCTTATGCATGTGCATGATTATTTCGCATGATTCTCCAAGTCTCTTAGTGACAAATGTCCGGCAACATTTATTGGCTAGGTCAATACAACCTCCGGTCCGGTCGCCGAAAAAACCATCGAAAATCACTAGTTGAGTTGTCACAATTTTCGAACTGCCACAACAACATCTATGAACCACCAGACGAGGGGATGAGCATCCAGTCATGAACATGTTCATTGCAATGATCCCCTACTGCTTGGTGGTTGACCTACCCTACCCCTCGGAAGAATCATGGAGGGACGAAGTCTCAGTTGGGATGATTTTCCATTCCCAACATTTTCTGGAAAGTCATAAAAAATCTTCCAAACCACCAACCAGCCTACATAATTAATAACAGGTGTTATAGATAGCTTGATTGATACATGATGCCTTCTATATCTATCGATGACCATGGTTGATAGTACCCTCTGGTTATGTCAAAATAGCTATTGAAAATCACCATTTTTAATGGGAAAATCCACTATTTCTATGGTCATTTTCAATAGCTATTTTGACATAACCAGAGGGTAGTATTTTCCATGGCCCCAATCATCATGCCCCGCGCTGTTTAATGCGCAGCCACGAAATCTCAGTAGAATCAATCCATTGAATTCCCACGAAATCACTGTGCCATGGACCACAAAAAACCAAACGATTCCTGTGTTTCGTGAGACGCAAGTTTGCCTTGCTTCACTATGCTTGAGAAAGGGGATATGACAGGATGTAACTCTACTATTCATGAGGTTAAATCTTTACTGTAAATCCCATTGAATTCTCAGCAAATCGCAACGCTTGTCGTTGGTTAAAAATCCCATTCCCAATCATCAAATAACATGTGTCCTGTTTCATTCCAATGTGATATGGACACCCCAACTTTTGCTTGATATCATTCCAGGTGAGGACTCCAGTGGCCTTTAGACTCTGGCGACTCTGGGGGATACAACTTTTTGGGTCTACCGGGGGGGTTTGCCCGGAATTTTAACATGTGGGGTGGGGTGGGGTGGGGTGGGGTGTGTCAACGTTGGTGTTCATGTGTACACATGGTACGCTGCTGGGTGTTGATGTGTACACATGGTACGTGGGGGGGGGTTGGGGTGGGGTGGGGTGGGGTGGGGTGTGTTAACGTTGGTGTTCATGTGTACACATGGTACGCTGCTGGTGCGTTGATGTGTACACATGGTACGCTGCTGGTGTGTTGATGTGTACGCATGGTACGCTGCTGGTGTGTTGATGTGTACACATGGTGCCCTGCTGGTGTGTTCATGTGTACACATGGTACGCTGCTGGTGTGTTGATGTGTACACATGGTACGTGGGGTGGGGTGGGGTGTGTCAACGTTGGTGTTCATGTGTACACATGGTACGCTGCTGGTGCGTTGATGTGTACACATGGTACGCTGCTGGTGTGTTGATGTGTACACATGGTACGCTGCTGGTGTGTTGATGTGTACACATGGTGCGCTGCTGGTGTGTTCATGTGTACACATGGTACGCTGCTGGTGTGTTGATGTGTACACATGGTACGTGGGGTGGGGTGGGGTGTGTCAACGTTGGTGTTCATGTGTACACATGGTACGCTGCTGGTGTGTTGATGTGTACACATGGTACGCTGCTATTGTTTTGATGTGTACACGTGGTGCGCTGCTGGTGTGTTCATGTGTACACATGGTGCGCTGCTGGTGTGTTGATGTGCACACATGGTACGTGGGGTGGGGTGGGGTGTGTCAACGTTGGTGTTCATGTGTACACATGGTACGCTGCTGGTGTGTTGATGTGTACACATGGTACGTGGGGTGGGGTGGGGTGTGTCAACGTTGGTGTTCATGTGTACACATGGTACGCTGCTGGTGTGTTGATGTGTACACATGGTACGCTGCTGGTGTGTTGATGTGTGCACATGGTACGCTGCTGATGTGTTCATGTGTACACATGGTACGCTGCTGGTGTGTCATGTGCAAACGTATCACGCAATCGCAGTGTCATGTTTGATTGTCCATCGTTTCCTCATCTTGATTGCGTTCAATGTATTTCTTCTTGCCATGTGTCTCCTTTCTGTCTGACTCTTTCTGTTTACTTCTGGTGTATGTGATATATATATATATGTATGTATACTTCATGTCTGTCTATATATGTATGCAAATCGTGTCAAATGGAAACACTGTAAATTACAGGTTATTGTTGATTTTTCCGCCAGATTTGGCGAAAAAAACTCAAGTTTGGACATTGTCAAAACATTCAATGATCAATTGCATCTGAAAACATGATATGAAGTCTACTTGTGAACAACCACATTTTATATAAAAAAAACACAGTAAAATCAACACCATGACTACAAGAACAACAAACGGCTGCGGATACTCATCACATGTAGTCACAGTCAGCCTTGTTCCAAGCCGGGCAAACCCCCCCGGCGGAGCCAACTTTTTGCAATTCGTGGGCTAAACCAACAACCACTTCACGGGGCCTCACCTTCTATGGAAAATGTTTATTAAACTTACTGGTGCATTTTACGCAGGGAATTTTCGGGAATGATCCACTGGCTAACTATCAATAATAATCCCAGCAACCCCCAGCAACCCCCAGCAACCCATCCATTCCCTACCTTTAACGCACTAGTCTACGTGACCATTTCACCGTTGGTCAAATCACCATCTGCCTCATGGGGCCTCACCTTCTATGGAACATGTGTATTAAAATTATGGCACATTCAGAGATGGGGCTAAGATATATAATTTGAATACACATTTTCCATAATGTTTTGCTAATAGAGAATGCGTCTTAGATCTGGGGCTAAGAACATTTTCTCTGAATGATCATCTCAGATTGGGCCTCTTTTTTTGCTAACACGCATAGCTCTGGGGCTTCTAAGACGGCTCCTCGGTGCCCAGGCCATGCGCAGGCAGCACCTGTTGCTGCACGATTTTCACCTCGCCACCGATGAAATCTCGTCTTAAATCGTTGGGGAAAAGGCACCAAAAGCCATGGGGAAAATGGCCATCTGTGGGACAAGTCTGGGCCCGAAAATGGAAACATGGCGGAAGATGGGACTATTCTTGGCATCCAGCATCATGTAGTGATTTCAATGGGATTTCCATATGGATTTCTGGATTTCAATCGATTTAGCGAAGAACCAGAGACAGGATGAATGTCTGGTCTGAGTTCCCATGCCACATCAGCTATACCTGGCTGGTAGGTTCACTGGGGGGTTCAGGATTCAAAATTGAAGATTATTATGATCAGAATCTATGAACAAACGGGAGATCTGCTCTCAACCAACCATTTTGTTGGAATGATTTTTTTCGGATCCATTTTTCAGGATCTGGAACATTGTTCATGTGGATTTTAAGTCTTTAGTTTCTCTTCATGGTCTTGATCAATCATTTCAAGATTTTCCGAAACATGGATTTATGGTAGCCTTGGACCTACACAGAAAAGACACACACATTCGAAACATTGACGTAACAACTCTAGAACTGTGGCTTTGACAAGCAAGAATGGGGTACCAAGGGAGTCGCTGAATATCATTGGCCATGGTTATTGCTAAACTACGCAATGGGTAGATGGTAAACCTTTGATTCTTGGGGCACACTGTTTTCAATAATTTATATTTTATTATAAAATTATAATAATATATATATATATATAAATATTATATATATATATATATTTATAATTATTTATACATATATTATTGTATGATCATATCTATTCTGTATATTGCTATATGTTTTCCAGTATATTCCCATTCAATTCCAACAATAATCAAATCATAGTGCAATGAGGTTACCCTCTGGTAATTTAACAGTTTGCTATTGAAAATGGCCCAGTCGAAATAGTGGATTTACCCATTGATAGCATGGTGGATCTTTCCAGTTCGTTATGTTAGCCCGTTTACCAGGCCGGGTAAAACACAAAATAATATTATATAATTAATCATCAATCAACCATCATTTCTCAACCATATCCCCACATTGCTGATGGCTAAAACCATCCCTACTCTTAGCAGTGGAAGCATCCGCCGGCCGTAAAAAGTGACGCCTTTTCGATCCATCCTGCTCTTCAAGGCCGCTTGCAGTTCAGGCCTGGGCGGTTCAGAACAAATTCTGATCCAGGAATGATGTGTTTTCACCTATCCATTGAAACAAACGATTTCACCATGTTTGATTGTTTAATAATGTTTGATATGTTATAACTTTCCAAGTTTTTTCCATTCAAATGGTGACTGAACGAGGATTTCATATTTTTAGGAACCGGCTCTTTTACGGACAGACATTGAAAATCATTGAAATATGTTGATCACAAACATCACGGCGATGTTCACTAGTATTTCAGGGGTTGTGACCGGATACAGTTGACACATATTAAACACATTCAAATATAAATAGTAGTAGGTTGTTGTAGTGCAGTTTTCCATTCAAAAATAAATCCTAAACATACACTCAACCGTTGACAGAAAGCATCAGCTAAGCAACGTATCTTCAAAAACTCAAAGACCAACAGCCTTTACCGGGTATTTAACCGTCCAAACAAGTGCCACAAACATGTGCAAGATTGGTTTCCATGAAAAAACAAATGGTTCATTCATTCTGGAAAAAAAGCAAGCTAACAATACGTATAATATGCAGTTCAAGGCCCAAAACATGCCTTGTTCCAGGCAGTCTCTTGGTGAAATGATCATTTGAACATGACCGTTGGAGGGGGGAATCACTTCCAATAATAACCATCAAACAAAAAGGTTTGTGTTCAAAATCCCCAACAGTGTCTGACATGGGGCACACCCCCAAGTTATATTCACTTTGGTATACCATTGACATCCACTTACCATCATAGCATTTTTTGCCAGGAAATACTCCCATCATCTGGCCATCAACCGAGGCCAGTTTCGGCCATGGCGAGGTCATAGTGCGCCAGGGGCGCTTGGGCCGCCGACTTGTTCAATGCTTTCAGCAGGTCATCTAAGATGCCTTGGTGACAGCCCGAGTGCTCGGTGTACTTCGATAGTTGATTGGAAAAATGCTTATAGATGCTATTGGAAATACTCCAGGTGTATGCTATATCGTGGTATATCTGTAAATATATCTGTTGTGGGTTGACATTAATTATACGTATTATTATGTCTGGGAATTTTAGGATCCTAAAATGGATGTACTGTACCATATAAGGCTATATTTTCTCGGGATATTCCCTTACATAGGCCTTACATAGGCCTTATATATGGTAGGTACTTCCAATCTAGGATCCTGAAATGGCCATTGATTATGTCATACATATACAGTAGATCCTGCTATGACAGTCAGAATCCTCCACCCCCTGGGGTGATCCCCAGCGGAACGGATGGGGAAAAGGGTTGCTGTAGGTTTCCCTCGGGAAAGGTTCAGCGCCTAGCGTAACTCCACTTTTATAGAAGCAACCAGGGCTTTTTATAGAAACTCCCATGTGAAAAACCCCCACACTACATAAATTGCATGCCACATGGCGCCAATGTTATCCAATCTTGCTTTGTTGAAACACATAGAAATTTGGCACCAAGGTTCGTCAAGGTGTAATCAAACTACCTAACCTGCGGAGCAGCAGTGATTCCCATTCATAGAAGATCCAACTGTTGAAAACTGTTGAGTTTGGTGGGAAAAAAACACGAGCGACTCAAACATCCTGATAATGAAAATAATTCCAATCATGATGATGATGATGATGAGGATGAGGATGAGGATGACGATGATATATGATGGTGGAAACAAACCATGAAAACACTGTAAATCCTCACCATTCAAGTTTTGCAGGTGGCTATGCATCGGTCACAGTTTCAGAGTGGCTGGGTTCTGTTATGCTTCACGACGCTCGCCACATTTAGTGTGAACCCCAGATTAAGACGTGTTATTGACCAAAACATGATTCAGTGGAACAGTAAAGAACACAAAACATTTAAATAAATGAAACCACCCACAGACCCATTTCAAATTATACATACCCTCTGGTAAACAAACATAGCTATTGAAGCCATGGCCCAGTCGAAATACAGTCGAAATAGTTGATTTACCCAGCTATAAAATGGTGGATCTTTCCATAGTTATGTTAGTGATTAATAGAAATAGTTGATTTACCCATTGAACATAGTGATTTTCCATAGTTATGTTAGTGATTAACCATAGAAATAGTTGATTTACCCATTGAAAATAGTGATTTTCCATAGCTTTTGGTATGTTTACCAGGCCGGGTACTTCCATTTTACCCCAGAACTCGCGCAGCCGCCGCTTTCAAAGCCGAAGGGCCACGGCACCAGGTGAGTTGATCCTGCACATAGCGGGAATACCTCAAACCGCGGCCAAATCACTTGCCAAAATATGCCAACAAAAAAGGGATACAATGTGAGGCCTCCAAGATAGCTAACTTGGTTTATAACTCCAATAACTATGGTTTATGGTACTCATAACTATAGTCACTGGGGCTTATAAACCAACAAACATCACTGGGGGGCCTCATAGTGTAGAACTATCAAACCATAGCGAATGATTTTCACACTTTGATTTGTCTATGATTTGATGGGATTTTTGCAAAACAAGTTGGGGCACTTGGGCAGTTGGGCAGTTGGGTTGATTTGTGGGGGATATCACCAGAAGTCACCAGAAACCTTGATGATCACCATTCAGAATGGTGAAAAAAAATCATGCTTCGGTGGCTTCGACCCAAAAAAACATCACCGAAATCCCGAAGGAATACTTTCTGCATGGAGAAAATCCATCACCTTTTTTTGTGGCTTTTTATATACGCGAAATCAACGATTGAGGCTGAATGATGCCAGACATCCAGGGAGGACATGGCCATTTTCTGGTGATTTTGAGATGAGTCCACCAACGGTTTTCCCTAGGCTGGCTACTTTGAAGATATTTAAGATGATTTTTAGAAGGATGGGAGTAGTCAATTCATGGCCAGTCTTCAATACCATCCAAAATATTCCAAAATAATAAACCAGTTAGTGTACACCGGGTCCTTTTACCGTGGAAGTCAGGATGGAAAAACCTGTCGGTTTACATGGAAGTCCTTTACGTCCAATTCCTGGGGAAAAAGTGAAACTGGGCTACCGGGCCAGCAAATGCAGAAAAACTGACCGTGAATCTCTTACATGGAAGTAGCTCATCAGATATGTCAGTAACATATTCATCATGGAAGTGTGAAAACTGAGACTAAAAACCCTTACGTGGAAGTAACTTGAGGGTCCAGGCATCAGGTTGGCAACTTCTATGTTAACATGCTCTCCCCTCATGTTGAATACATCCTTCTAGGGCGATCCCTAAAACCCCCAGACTGACCGCCACATCATTTTTTTTCTTCTTTGCATCTATCTTCTCACCCCTGTCATGTCCGAGCCATTGAGGATGCAACCTTTCGAAATCAATGGTGCCAAATTGGTGCTCGCTAACATGGCACTGCCCACATCCTACTTCAAGTAGCAAATTTCTATGTAAGTTATCCGTTCCAATCTTTGGTTGTTAAAAAATGGAGGCATTCCCAGCTTTATCTTGAAAAATTCAAAATTTCTACGTTAATCAACAAATGCCCAGGATTCCCGGGGAACTCGTGGCAAAAAGAACTAGTCAAAAAAAAAAAGGCTCAGATCCAAAGAACACAAATTTGCAGTTTACCCCCCCCATTGCAACTAACATGGAAGTAAACCTCCGAATTGTCACTTTAGTTAACGTGGAAGATGTTTTTTTTGCACTACTGTAAAAGGAGGACCGAGCGCTCGCTAACATGGCACTGCCCACATCCTACTTCAAGTAGCAAATTTCTATGTAAGTTATCCGTTCCAATCGTTGGTTGTTAAAAAACGGAGGCATTCCCAGCTTTATCTTGAAAAAAACAAAATTTCTACGTTAATCAACAAATGCCCAGGATTCCCGGGGAACTCGTGGCAAAAAGAACTAGCCAAAAAAAAAAAGGCTCAGATCCAAAGAAGACAAATTTGCAGTTCCCCCCCCATTGCAACTAACATGGAAGTAAACCTCCGAATTGTCACTTTAGTTAACGTGGAAGATGTTTTTTTTGCACTACTGTAAAAGGAGGACCGAGCGCTCGCTAACATGGCACTGCCCACATCCTACTTCAAGTAGTAAATTTCTATGTAAGTTATCCGTTCCAATCTTTGGTTGTTAAAAACGGAGGCATTCCCAGCTTTATCTTGAAAAAATCAAAATTTCTACGTTAATCAACAAATGCCCAGGATTCCCGGGGAACTCGTGGCAAAAAGAACTAGCCAAAAAAAAAAGGGCTCAGATCCAAAGAACACAAATTTGCAGTTTACCCCCCCCCATTGCAACTAACATGGAAGTAAACCTCCGAATTGTCACTTTAGTTAACGTGGAAGATTTTTTTTTGCACTACGGTAAAAGGAGGACCGAGCGCTCGCTAACATGGCACTGCCCACATCCTACTTCAAGTAGCAAATTTCTATGTAAGTTATCCGTTCCAATCGTTGGTTGTTAAAAAATGGAGGCATTCCCAGCTTTATCTTGAAAAAATCAAAATTTCTACGTTAATCAACAAATGCCCAGGATTCCCGGGGAACTCGTGGCAAAAAGAACTAGAAAAAAAAAGGGCTCAGATCCAAAGAACACAAATTTGCAGTTTACCCCCCCCATTGCAACTAACATGGAAGTAAACCTCCGAACTGTCACTTTAGTTAACGTGGAAGGATTTTTTTTTGCACTACGGTAAAAGGAGGACCGAGCGCTCGCTAACATGGCACTGCCCACATCCTACTTCAAGTAGCAAATTTCTATGTAAGTTATCCGTTCCAATCGTTGGTTGTTAAAAAATGGAGGCATTCCCAGCTTTATCTTGAAAAAAACAAAATTTCTACGTTAATCAACAAATGCCCAGGATTCCCGGGGAACTCGTGGCAAAAAGAACTAGCC